GTACAACTTGGGCTAACAACCCGAGCTCAACTCTATTTTTTGATGTCTAGACAACTGTCTTTATAATTATGGTTCGGCTTGGATTAAAAACCCGAATCTAATTAGGGTTAAGCTTGGATTGAGGTGTTAGCCGTCCGAATCAATCCAAATCTGAATTATAATATTATTTTTATATATATAATTTTTTTATTTTAAATATATTATATATAATATTCAAATTATGATCACGTTTTTTTCAACTTTACTTGTATATTGTATTTTAACATTTTAGAGCATCAATTACATAAGAATTCGTTTGTAATTTATTAAAAACTTAGAATATATTTTAAAAATTTTTGTGCGTAGGAGTAATTTAATCTGAAATTAACTAAAGATCACATTAAATTATCATGTTAATTGGTTATATGTGTAATCCAAAATCTCAGCCTAAATTACAAACTCGAATTTAAAAATAAAAGAATAGGTTGAATTCGGATTGAATAGTTGTGCCTGAATATCATGTTAGAATTCAGTTAAAATTGAAAATTTCATATGTCGGTTGAGATCCACATATAACACTAACTCATCCAACCCCGGATTCACTGAATGGTGCCTATTCAAGTCCTTGAAAGATTTGTACATCACTTCTTCTTTGTTGCATAGTGAAATCCCTTCCATGTTTTTATCAGTTAACATATAAGCTATAAAGCCAAACACATTAAATTTGTTCCACGTGTTATTTGGTGTTTCCCTTTTGTTTCTATTTTATTTCGTTTAACTTTGTACATTGTCATATTTTGTCAAAAAAAGTAGCAAGAGCATTTAGACCTAGTTCTCCCTTCCATGAAATTGCAATCAACCCATGTGAAGTCAAAGCTCATACTTGCCCAAAATTGACATCCTAAAGTCTTCCAATTTTTTGGTTCTTGGATCATCATTAAACTCACTTTTTTCATTTTTTTTTTATTTAATTTATCTCAGTGGTAATCATGACTCACTGCATAACATCTTTGCAGTACAAACAACCCTCACACGATTAAGCAAATTGGAATGACTATGTATACCCCTTCTCATTTCATGAAAACCCCTTTAAACCAAACACCCCCAAACTTTCAAAATTTTACCACAAAGAGGTAGAAGTAGGAGGAATATTGAAATGATAAAAGATGAACAAAAAGAATTATACAGAAGAATTAAAAAGTAGCACATGGATTTTGCTAATGTGGGTACCACTGCATTGAACACTGATAAACCATACATACCATCTGTACTCAAATAAAGTTGATAGTGGGGTCTACTCTTATTAGGGCTTTCCTTTTATAGAAGTTTTTGAAGGTTGAGAAGGGTTCTTAATTGCATTTTTCCATTTTTAACCCATCCCTTCACTATCAGCTGAGTTTTCAATCCTCATGCCCTACTAGCAACAAAGAGGGTACACACAGTCAAATAGGACTTTATTGGAATTATTCTTTAGATTTTCTTCTGTATTGTTACATATATTCATTAAAATGTGTATAATTAATTACATGTTGTTTTGTATGGTTGTAGAAATTAAGAGAATACTATATTTTAATAGTCATGCTGTTAATATGGCACTATATTGGCAGCATAGTAGGTTGAACTTTTAAAGCAACTTTGTATGGCATGAGAGCCATCCCTGTCTTGGTACTGCAGTTCATGTGGGTAGGGACCAGGGTTTTTTAATTTGCCGGATTGTGACATTTTTAGCCCAAATTAAATCAATAGACATACAAGGATGAATATATATATACATATATAACTTCATAAAATAGTATATACGTATATAACTTACTAGAATATGTTCTTGTGTGTGTCTACTTATGAAGATAGGTCATTTTGTGGGAGTTAAATTTATTGATCCTTCACTCAACAATTGAAGAGATAAAATGATGTTGCTACGAAGCTCAAACAGGTATGAGCTCATAAATTGCCCACTAGGGGCATCTCGAACTCCTCATCTCCTTTTTTGAAAAAAGAAAAATTATACCATTAGACTACTTAGCCATTGGTACCATTTTTGTTTCATTGAACACGGATATTTTTGAAAAAATTTAGTTGGACAGAAAAGAACCTGAGAATGGAATGAGAGGGATGGTTATTGGCTGAACCTTGTGGCCCATTTTAGCTCTCTATATTTATCAACAATGTATATGTAACACATTAAGCATATAGCAGCCCACAGCTGGACAAATTGATTAGTAGTTATTGTTATTCCTTTTTTTTTTTTTTTCGTAAAGAGAAGGTTTGTGGAGATTTTAAAAAGGGTAAATGTAGAAATATGAATGTTAGGTCGAAGGGTATAACTGAGTCAATTTTTTATACAAGTAGAAGTATATTTTTACAGTAAAAATATACTGACTCAGTTATACCCTTCTAAAAGTATATTTTTATACCAAAAAATAATAATAATAATATAGTAATAATATATACTATCTACACTAATGATTGTAAAAAAAATATAAAAACAATCATTATTAATGTTAAATAATTATGGTAAAAAATTCTTAAATGAGGTCTAGTTCATTAAGTGGATGATTCATCAGGTCCCATCATTTGCAAATAAGTTTCAAAGCTAAAACCCTTAAATGGGATGCCCAATTAAGGCCAGCTTGAACTTGGGATCAATCTGGAAGTGAGCCTGGACTGAGCTTAAGGTGGGTCGGATGGTGTGTGACTTCAATATGATGGCCCAACCAAAATTAAATGCAGATCTATGGACTAAGGCCCATCTAGCAACGTTCTTGTTTTCTATTTGATTCTCTTTGTTTGTTGTATCGTCTGAAACACAGAGAGAAAAATAATTTGGAGCACATGAATTTCGTTTTCTTGTCAAAAATAAGTTCTAGATTTTTGTCCAAAAATTCAATATAGAAATGTGCCAACAAAGAAATACGAATTGAATTGCACAACACCTTTCTTGTCGTGAAGGTGTCACATAATTTCCATAAAATTATTCAAAATTTTAAAAACTTCTTTTTAACTCTTGTAATTTTCTAGTCCTATGAGTCAGTATAAAATTAGGGACCATTGGTGATAAAATATTTTCCCTACCAAGCGTAAATGTAAATACAAATCATAGTAGTCACTTGATGCCATCATATCAAATATTAGGTTTGAAATTATAATTGGAAAAGGAATTGAATTGTAATTAAAATATAATTTTATTTGCATGTTTATTTAAAATTTAAATTTGTGATCAACGGGTCAATGACTTAGCAATATTAGGCTCCTTATTTTCAAAAGGATGTAAGAGGTTCGAACCTCGGTGGCGACATGTGTGTGTGAATATCAAGTACCAACTAGTAAAAAAAAAAATTTTGAAATTTGTAAAAAGGAATTTGGCCTATCAACCTAATAATATATTTTATACCTCCTAAAGTGAATGAGAAGATTAAGTGCGAAAAAAAAAAACATATTGAGATAGTCTTTCTCCTTAAGTGTCCCGCGTGAGCAAATGTATGTGTGTTTCTTGTCATAAAAAATAAATAAATAAATAAATAAAACATGAATTTGAAAAAAAAAATAATTTTATATCATTTTATGACAAAGAAACATTATTCTTTTATGAACCACTTTAAATTCTCTCATTCTACCAATTTATTTCACAACCGTCACGTTTATGATATTTTAAAATCTCATCATTCTAAACAAGTTGTGAAATTTTATTTCAAATCTAATTCCTATATATGAAATCCCAAATTTCCAAATACAAGTAGATAATAATCCTTTGAAATTTAAAAACAATATTGTATATAACAAAAGAAAGGATATACCAAAAAAATATGGCTTGAGCAGTAGTATGCCACCAAATAAGAAAGAGTTCAATTTCTTATATTTGAAAACTAATGTAAAAAGAAAAAATCCTCACCCACTCACATTTTTTTTTTTTCAAGCATGAGAAGTAGAAGATGAAGTGAGTCAAATTTGGACTCCAACTTGATTCAAGCAGGCGTCTCTATCAATTGGATTACCCAACTCATCATTTTCCTTTTCTCTTTTAAAACAACTGGATTACCCAACTCATCACTTACCCTTTTCTCTTTCAAATATTTTCTTTTGTAAAGATAACAAGAATGCTATTTGAAGAATTAATAAACTAAAAAAAAAAATCGTCATTTCATCTTCTTTATTATTTTATTTTTTCTCATCAATTGTAAATCAATATTCTTCTATAATTTTCTTCAAACTTTTTATTTCCCCAAACAAAACAAATAATTTAAGTAGATATTTACAGAAGGACCTTTTACTTTGAATTTAATTATTAAAAATTTCCAATCTTTGTGTTATTTTGATAATTATTTATCAACTATTTATTTATTATTTATCAAATACATAGTAAGATTTGCCTAAAAATACTAACATAGCCTACGGATGCAACTTGGACCGGGCAACTCGAACCTAACTCAAGCCTAACTTGATTTTTTTACAAGCATGAGTAACCATTTTTATAATAGGATTGAGTATGGGTTGAAAATTTTAACCTGAACTTAATTAGGATTGGACTTAAGTCAATGTGATAATAGTTCGAACCTGAATTCTAATATTCTTTATATATATATATATATTTTAAATACATCATATATAATATTTTAAATATGATTGACATTTTTTTTTTCTAGCTTTCTTTATTTAAAATTTAATTTATTATAGGTTAATAGTTAACACTTGAAAGTTTTGAAAAATTTAAATTTTTATTTGTAATTTATTAAAAATTTGTAATAAAATTTAAAATTTTTATGTGTCTGAGATTATTTTAATTCAAAACTAATCACATTAAATTTTGAATTGACCATGTGTGTAAAACCCAACTTTTTATCTCGAAATCTCACAATCAATTGTAAACGCGAGGTTACAAATAAAAGGATAGACATAAGAGTAGTTAGAGTTGTTAGAATTGAAATCGGGTTAGAATTGAGTTAGGTTAAACATTGTCTATGTCGGGTTGGGCCTCCAACCCGGCTGAGTGAGCCCCAATCTGGTGTAAATGCCCTATTACAGTCATAGATGATTGAATACAGAGAAAGCAAAAGAGTGTGAAGCAAGGAGAGAGAATCTGAAGAGAAGAGATGGCAGAAATGCAAAGAAGAGCTGGAAGACTTCCTCCTCCCTCCGCCAGGGCCCCTCCTCCTCTTCCGCCTAAAGTTGACCATCACTTGGCACCCGTTGATCGCGAGAAGGTCCGCGTCCATTCCTAACTCTCTCTCTCTCTCTATATATATATATACATACACACACATATATACATAGATTCACACATATTGTGTCCATACTTGTGTCTATGTGTTTATATATTTATATCTGTGGGTTTTTGCTTTTCTAGGGTTTCTGTGTACGCGTGGGGGAGTTTAGTTCAAGTTTTAACATTACCGTTATTTATTTATTTATTATAGAGTTTCTTGTTATAATTTCACGGATTGGATTCGAACTTATGTATTTGATAGCAGTAACACTTTGTTTATGGAATGAAATTATGCATGATTTCATTGATTTGTAGTGGGGTTTTTCATAATTCGGGCAACTGTTATTTAATTATTTATGTATATTACTTTGGGGAAACAATGTACACTGGAGGAAGCAAGTTGATAAAATTATGTAAGAATTAGGTCTAAACTCAATCCAACTCAACTAAACAAAGCCTTTCCCTAACATGGCGAACCATGTGCGCGCGCGCTCTCTTTTTTGTAAAGAAAATCCCAAAAAAGGCTGGTAGGAAGTAAATGAAAAATGAGCAGAAGTTAGAGGGGTCCCTCAGATTGAGTTTTATATGGGATTAGGAGTCACATGCACACTGTAAGAAAACACCATCTTTTTATTTCATTATATAAGTGTGATTTTGTGCAACATAAATGGTAGTAATTATATCTAAAACTAGAGAAATCTGGTGCAAGGAGAATTGTACTTAAATGAAGAAGAGAAACAAAATAAAAGAGCGTTTCTAAACAAACCCGAATTTCCTTAATAAATGAAAGGAAAACCTACCAAGCAAAGAGAGGATGAGTATGGGATTTTTTAAAATTGGGCACTAGGCACTTTGTTTAGTATTTTAATCTATCAAAGTCGCATGTTTTCTAGTCGCCTACTCTGTGATTGTCACTCTCTCTCTGATATTAGGTACATAATGACACATGGTTTATTGTTCCCTCTTAGTGATGGACTGTGACTTCTGTATTTTGATTATTTATTTTTTTGTTGTTGTTATTGAAGTATTTATTATGCATATTGATCATTTATTTTTCATTCATATGCAGACCTGTCCTTTGCTGCTTCGCGTTTTCACAAAGGTATGTGCAATACACTTATTTTTAGTTTGTACAAAATGTAAACATAAATTCAGAGTTGTTCTAGATGTAAACTAAAAACTGAGAGGACCATTTTGTATCTCTTGAATTCTACAGACTGGTGGTCATCATTCTGATACAGATTTTGCAGTGAGGGGCAAGGAGCCGAAAGATGAGGTCCAAATTTATACATGGAAGGATGCTACTCTTCGTGAGTTAACTGATCTGGTATCTTGAAATGTTGTGCCATTCGCCTAGTTTTCATTGCTGTCCTTTTATTCTTGTTCTTTGTGTTTTCGTATATGGCAACGGACGTACCTTTAAGTTTATTTTCTAGATATTCTTTAACAACTTCATGCTTATGTCATTGAAATTGTAAATCCATTGAAATTGACATAGGACCACTTAGTCTGTCTAAGTTTTGGTAAGAGGTTGGGAGGGATTATAGATGTAGAAACTACCATAAAAGTTTTATGGGAGGAAATGGGAGAAGGGGCCTACTGTTATGATGTGCAACTACAATTGATGCAATATGAAGGTCTATTATCTTCATGTTGGGTGGTTGTCCCTTTTGTACTTGCATATGGAATTTTCGAGACCTCCACTGAGAGGTTTGTTGTGTATGGCGATTCCAGTTGTCTTTCGTTATATTAAGTGAGTTGGTGAAAAATAGTCAGGCCTATTAATTTGGATTCTGACAAGTTTGGGTAATGTCTAAATCCAAACCAATGATACAAGGAAGTTTGGATATGAAATCCAAGTTTTAGCTTAATGCTATGTTTGGTTGGAGGGAAGGATTGAGAAGGGATGGATGAGAGGAGGGATGGATGGAGCTTTTCGTGTTTGGTTGGAGGGAAGGGAAGAGAGGGAGGAAGGAAGGGATGAAGCATCCCTCCTTTCTTTTTGTTTTTGTATCCGCCCAATTTTAGGGGAGGAGGAGGAGAGAGATAATGAATAACTACTACACATATACAATTTCCAATTTTAAGCTTTTCAAAAAAATTCAGATGGATATCTACTTTTTATTATTTTATACAGCGAGGGTATATTGGTAAAAAATATATAAAAACTCTCTTTCCCTTCAAACCAAACAAAAAAAAGTATCACTCATCCATCCTTTCTACTATTCATTCCATTCAACCAAACAAAAAATGGGAGAGACACCTTTCCTTCCCTAGGGATTCGTCATCCATCCCTCCCCCTACATCTTCCATCAATTTTTCCATCCCTTCAACCAAACGAATCATAAGTGAATCTTTTGTCTCTCCAAAGGAGAGGTGAGCCTTATATTCAGCTGAGATACAAGTTCTGTGTTGAGGTAAGCCTTATAGTCTGTTAAAATATGAGTTCTCGCATATGTTTGATATGATTACCTAATGCATTGTCATAAAGATTAAATTTTATTTAGTACTTGAAGAAATACCAGAGAATTTGAACTTTTTCGGTTAGTGAGTAAGGTAGAGTTTATGAGTTTTCATTTTAGTAAACATAGTAGTAAAAATCAGAGTACATTGAAATTTGATGACATACAGATAAAAGTGCCCTTTTTTATTTGATTGATTTTTCATATGGAATAATAGTAGGAAAAATTGAGGATTATGTTCACCATTGAGCTAGATTAGGATGGATGAAGTGGAGATGACTTATGGAGTGTCATCTGACCTTTCAATTCGTACCAACTTATCAAGTTATAAGAAAAGGTACAAGATGGTAGTAAGATTGGTTTTGCTTTATTATATACTCCCTCCGTCTCAAATTAAATGTCCCTTTTTGGGAATCTAACTTTGTAAGAGGATGAGTTTTAATATTTTTTTATTGTATTGGTAGTGAATGAATTCCCAAATATGTCCATAGTGGGTCCACAAGATGTGATGGTTTCCTTTTTATAAGTTCAATGTAAGAAGGTTAAATTGGCAGAAGGTTACAAAAAGTATTACTTTGACTTTTCAAATGGGACATTTATTTTGAGATAGCCAAAAATGGAAAGGTGGACATTTAATTTGAGACGGAGGGAGTACTATGTTTGAAATTAAAGAGCCAAGTAACCAACATGGTTACAGAATTAGGGTAGTTAAAATGAGAATTTTAAGATGGATGAATGACAACACAATTAGTGATAAAATAAAAAAGAATGCATCTGTAAGAAGAGGTGGCACTAATTCAAAACAATATGAGGAATCATCTAAGAGGATGGTGATGGATAATTAATGTATTGCGATAATCGAATGAGAACAAAAAAGTCAGTTGAGGTTGTGAGATGCATATGAGGGCCGAGGATTTAATAGAAATAAGTAAGTTGTGGTTGTGATGATATGATTGCCAAGGATTTTGTAGAAATATGGCATCCAAATGGCCTGTTGGAGTTGGTTTGAGGAGAAGGATGTGTTGTTGGAGACAAGATGATGGAGCTGTTCTGAAACCTGCTAAACAGTAAACACTAGTCCTTTTAGTTTTCTAACATGCCAATTTCAGTTTCTTGTGCTTCTTTGCAGGTTAAAGAGGTAGCTCCCGATGCAAGAAGAAGAGACGCAGAATTGTCCTTTGCTTTCGTATATCCTGATAAAAGTGGGCGTTTCGTGGTTAAAGAGGTATCTCACACACTCTCTCTCTCTCTGTGTTTGTCCGTGTGTGTGTGCATGTGTGTGTATTTGTTGATCCTGCAGCCATATGCATGTGCACATGAACTTGTGTTGATTTTTCTTCCTAGTGTTTTGATGTCTGATGGGCGATTATGCATCTTTTGTCAATTAAATTGCACACATGTCTATAAATCGGTTCTTTCACGCATTTGTGAAATCTGTACCCCTAAATTGTTCAATTCCTTCTTTCAGAGAGTTTTTGCTACAAGCCTACAACTTCAGTAGTATTAACATAATTATTTTGATACTAAATCTTATGTAACTACAAACCATTGAAACCTTCATGAAATTTTTTCCCTACATTTGAGAAACTACTACATTGCATTCACATTTTCTTATCAAGTATATGTAACTTTATTACTTATATATGTATTCAAAATCCCGACTAGCTCTAAGTAACCCAAATTATATATATATATATATATATATATATATATATATATATATATATAATTTGGGTTACTTAGAGCTAGTTGGGATTTTGAATACAGTTCAAGTTATTAGGCCTCTGGCAGTGACATGTAAAAAGAGAGTGAAGAATAACTAAATAATTTAATGAATTGATATAGATTCAGAAGATACAAAGCCCTATGACTAAATTCATCAAATATTAAAAATAGTAGATTTGAGACTAAATCTTCGTAACTGTCATTAACCTCATCTAAAGCAGTTAAACCTAATTCAGATACAAACAATTCACAAGGTTTCATCACTGAAGTACTGTGAATGCTGCAAATAATTCTCAATCTGTCTTCAATTTTGCTTGTTTTTTTTTGAAAACCCATAACCACATTTTCCTCTTCTTCATAATCTTATTTTTGCTGCTAAATCGTGTGATATTTGTTAATCATTTTTAGGACTGAACACGTTGCTGGCATTAAAATAGTTTCCCAGTTAATTCCTGAATTTAGGTGTCTCCTAGTTCAATTATTCCTTAGCATTTAAAATTGTCTCTATAATTGACAAATTAGGCTAAAATAAAAAAGAAAAATCTGGTCTGACTTCTAAACATGGTCTGTATTGTAAAACATATTTATCCAATGTGATTATATGCATGGTGGAATAAATGCATTTGGATTGATTTTTCATATATGCTTGTGGTTGATATCCGGGCTTAATTTAAAAATACTATTATATATCAACTTGAGAATAAAAAATGACCAATTTGGTTTCCACGCCAAATCATGTTATTAGTGTAAAAGCATTGTTATGCGTTGATTGTTGAACTCTCTATTGTGTCATCAAGGTGGGAAGAACTTTTTCTCATCCAAATGGGAGACGACCAGACAATGGCAAGAGGCAATTGGGTGACCTTAGCTTCCGGGTAAAACGACTTGATTTCTTTTGAATTACCAGAACGTCCCCAAAAAAATAAAATAAAATAATAATAATAAAAAGATCTGTACTCCTTGTAGTCAATTCTAACTTGTATTAACATACGTCCACAGATTGGAGATTACTTGGATGTGGCAATTCTACATTGAATCTATCCAACTTGTTGAGTACACTCTGTTTCGGTTGCCCGTGGTGTGGTTAGGTCAATACATCCCATCTGTTTCATGATAAAAAGTGATAGACTGTTTTATGCATGGATAAGTATGGATATCTAAGGTTCTACTTCGAAATGTAAAGCGGGCAAATAATGTTTTATACTGTGTTTGGTATTGTGAGATGTTTTTTTCCCCGACGATCTTTAATTGCCAAATCTTTGTTAATTTCCTTGAATTCCTATCATGTTCCGAATATTTCTGATGCAAGTTCTGCAATGATGTCACTAGGAGAAAAGTGAGCTTTTCCGGGCTCATATTTTTTGCCAAGATTTCTTCATATTAAGCACATATATTTGTTTTGAAACACCACAGTCCATCTGGAGTTTTCCGTTGGATCATATTTTTTGGTTTGTAACAGTAGTTAGATGGGTATTCTTCATTTGTTCTACGGAAAATGAACGAGTCGTTTTATTCTGGTTTTGCATTCCTTCAAGGGTGATGTAACCTAATAATATGTTGAACGTGACGTGGATGTAACATATGATTTTGAAAACAGCGCAATGAGAAGAGTAGAATGGTTAGGGAGACGCTTTTGGTATTAGTTTGAAAACTTAGGGTCAGATTGTAACTCCTTGAATAGTTTTCTGTTTTAAAAAAATTGAAAATAGAAAATTAAATAAAAAACTCGTTCGGTTTTTTAAAAACTCAATTATAAAAATGTAAGTTTTTTGTTTTTAAAAAATTGAAAATAAAAAACAGTATAAAAAACTCTCTTTCTTTTATAGTATTAGAAAAATAGTTTCTGTTATCTGAATTTTTTTAGAATTGTTTTAAAAGTAAACAAAGTCTTTATTTTATTTTATTTTTAAAAAATAAAAATTATGCCCCCCCACCCCCCCAAAAAAAAAAAAAAAAAAACTATATGGTTTCCGCTAACGGCTTTTATAATATTCCAAAAATGAGTAAATTGAAACCCAAGACATCTTGGGGAATTTTTTTTGCTTAAAATGCATATTCTTATTTCTTTGTAAGAAATAAAAGCAGGAAAAGAGGGCTGCAACTTGGGTGTGTGAGCTTAACCTTCAACCCTTAGTACTCAGTTCCATCCATCCTATCCTTCCATTTCTAAACTCTTTGCAACTCTGAGATTTTTGGCCCATATAGTCAATTTCCACACTAAAAATTATATATGATCTTGAATTAATTTAAGATTAAATTACTCTTAAACACAAAAAGTTTAATAATAAATTACAAATAATTTCTTGAAAATTTAATTTTTCAAAAGTGTTCATACAATAAATTAAATTTAAATAAAGGAAATTGAAAAGAAAATTAAATATAATGTATTTATATAAAATATACATAAGAAAATAATATTAGAATTTAGTTTGAGATTTTTTTATTTTGAATAATTTAGTTTGAGATTGCTAGCACTACCCCTAAAAAAAATAATTGTCAGCACGACGTCGTATTTATAGCAAATTAAACCGAAAGGAAAATATATACAAGTCAAGAAACTAGAAAGAAGGAAGACCATATCGAAGAAAGTAGAAACTTGAAAGAGGAGAGAAACCATACCCGAAACTTCAGATCTCTCTCTGTCACACACACACCAGGGTCGCCGATAATCTCTCTGTCTATACACACTTCTTCCTCACCACTGATTGTTCGATTGCCACTGTATAACACACACTATACCCTGCATTTCTTTTCATCCTCCCACATCTCATCTCTGTCTCTCTCTTACATACACACGATTCAAACCTTATATATATAGATTCGATCTTTCTGATGCTTGCTAATGGGCTTAAATTAGCAATGCTCATAAATTGTGGTTTCTCAAGATCTTGAAATTTCATCGTAATTTTCATTCTCTATCCACACATAAACATGAAGTTTTTACTTTTTATTTATCTGTATCTATTTCTACTTTCTCTACTAACCCCTATATCTCTATCTTTCAAGTTTTTGATAGGAAATGGCAATTAAGAGTGGACTACACGGTACGGGCATTCATAGGAATAGCGTCGGTGGGTCTCGTTTTCCGATCGCAATTCTCATTTTTTTCTCAGTTCTCGCGCCGTTGATTTTCTTCGTTGGAAGAGGACTCTATATCGCAACTCCGATTGGTTAGTAATCTATTTATATATATACATATGTATGTACACATGGTTCTATTTTCTGTTTCAGTGTAGATTTCACTCTGTTAAAGTTATAGATTCATATGGGATGTATGTATGTATGTACACATGGTTCTGATTTTCAGTTTCAGTGTAGATTTCACTCTGAACTAGGACTTCAAATTTGATTAATTTACATGATTTGAGTTTAGAAAAAGAGGATTCTATGTTGTTTAGTGGTCAAGTCATGCCCAATTGATTAGTGGAACTCGTGCAAATGTTATTGGAATGCTTTTACTTGTTTCTATAGTTGCTGAGTGGAGCCACGGTAATTTTTTGTCTTCTAGATTGTATAAAAAAACTACTGTATTCAGTTTTTTTGTCACTAATAAATCTAGGACTTCTCTCCATTTACACCTTAGAGAGTAGCCCAAGTCTAAAGACCCGTGTGTCAAGGGCCGCATTGTTGTTGTTCATTTTACAGAGAGATATGAATTGTTTAAGGAATTTGTAATTAATAACCAACAGTTGTGTTGTATTATGTGGCTCAAAAATTATTACAACCCAATTACACAAAGCTTACATATTGGCTACAAAAGTGTGATGGTGAAGCTTCCAAATTAGCTTCCAAAGAAAGCTTCGAAATTCTTGGGCAACAAGTACCATTTGGCTTCCAAAGGAAGCTTTTGAATATACTTGGACACCAAGTATTTTTGGGCTATGTATAGCCTTACACACATTTTATGAAAGGCATCCAAGATAATCAGTTAAGTGAGTTTGTAATATCAATTAGAGAGTGAGAGAGTTAGGGTGTAATTGGGTTTTTGGGTGTGAGTCACTTTGCCTTGTATCTCTTTATTTCCATAGCAAAATATCGTTCTGTTTTCTCTCTGTGGACGTAGGCATAGCCGAACCACGTAAATTCTTGTCTCGTTTGTGTGTATACCTATTTATTTTTCTTGTCATTAATTTTTCTTTTTGTTTTCATAAACTCCTATTCGATCCTTACTTCGTAACAAACTGGTATCAGAGCTTGGGTTTGTGTATTGTGTACAAATAATGTTCACATGTACAATACTATTCACCGGCATTGTTCATACGTACGGTACTGTTCACATATAATATTCGGGTACTGTTCACAAATACGGTACTATTCACCAACAAATATTTTGGGAAGTTTTTTGATATGTCGACCAAATACGAGATTGATAAATTTGATGGCAAGATTAGCTTCAGTCTTTGGTGCATTAAGATGCAGGCCTTACTGACTCAGCAAGGTCTAAAGAAGGTGTTGTTCGGGAAGGACAAGTTGTCAACAACTATGTCCAAATGAAGACAAGGATGAAGTCGATGAAAATGTGCGCACTGCGATTCTTTTGAATCTAGCTGATGAGGTGCTGCGTGAAGTTATTGATGAAGACACGACGACAAAGTTATTGCTGAAATTAGAGAGTTTGTATATGACGAAGTCTCTCACTAGCAGACTCTACCTGAAACAGAGACTTTACACCTTTTGTATGAAAGAAGGTATGCCTCTTAAGGAGCATATTGATAATTTCAATTCTGTTATTATGGATTTGAAAAATACTGATATTAAAATTGATGACGAGGATCAAGTCCTGATTTTGTTGTGTTCTTTGCCTCCTTCCTATAAGTATTTTGTTACCACATTGCTCTATGGAAAAGACACTATTGGTATGGAGGATATTAAATCCTCATTGAACTCTTCGGAGTTGAGGAAAAAGGTGTCTGGAAATATTGGAGATGAATAGGCGGAGGATTTATTTGTAAGAGGCGAAAGTGAGACAAAGAGTTCTGGTAGTAGGGGCAAATCTAGATCTCATAAAAATGTAGAATGTTACTACTCTCACGAGATAGGGCACATCATCAAGCACTGTCCCAAACTAAAGGCAAAGAATGAGAATGACAAAGAGAAGGTTTAAGAAGCAGCTTCTGTGGCAACTGCTACAACGAGTGATTCGGAAAGTGACGAATATGTTCTCATGACAACCTTGTGTTCAGGTATGTCATTTAATAATAGTTGGATTATTGATTCTGGTTGAAGAGGTGAAAGGTGGTTTGATTTTGACGGCGGACAGGAAAGCTTTCAAAATTTTGGGAATTAGAATAGTCAAGATCAAGACACACAATGGGTTGGTGAGAACATTGTCAGATGTGCAACATGTACCGGATCTGAAGATGAATCTTATTTCAATAGGTGTGCTAGACTCCAGAGGTTACAAGGTTGTAATAGAGGGTGGAGTAATGATGGTCGTCATGGATTCTCTTGTGGTGCTACAGGGCACCAAGGTGAAAAATTTGTATATTCTCCAAGGGAATACAGTAACCGGTGGAGCTTCTACAGGGTTTTCTACAGTTAGCAAAAATCTGCATTCGGGTCTTGGCAAAAGAAGAGTTAGAAAGAGGAGTTACGATCCTAGTTCTCAAAAGAGTTGCGAGGGGACTACACAACGTGGTGGGAGAATGAAATCCGTTTTCAGATGGCAATTGAAATTGCAGCTGTTAGGGTGGCAGACCCATGAGGACAGGTTTGATATTGACTTGCAATAATCTTGGTGGCAATGAGATAGTCCATTCGAGTGCCATTAAGATCCGTGGGCGGTAAGTAGTTGGTCACAATAGAAATGCGAGAAAAAATCAAGGACGTCCTATTCTTCACAAGGGTGAGAAGATGACTTTTCATTATCAACCGGTGGTTTGTGGATGGTTGGAGAAGGTTGCTAAAGGAGATGTCAAATTTAGAGTTTCCGAGGTTGCTTTTGGTAAGCATTTAGAATTTGACAGAAATACTGGAGGTATGCTTGTGGCTGCGCAAGACATGCATGGGTTGAAGAATGAGAGCCCGAGGTTTAAGTTTGAGGATGACTCAAACTTAACTAAAATTCTTAATTAATTTGTTTTGTAGAGAAGACAGGTTGTTTGGCGGAGATATAGTGGCTCATTTGGAATTTTTGGCCAAGGTGGAGATTTGTTGTATTATGTGGCTCAAAAATTATTACAACCCAATTACACAAGGCTTACATATTGGCTAAAGAAGTGTGATGGTGAAGCTTCCAAATTATCTTCCAAAGGAAGCTTAGAAATTCTTGGGCAACAAGTGCCATTTGGCTTCCTAAGGAAGCTTTGATATATACTTGGACACTAAGTATTTTTGGGCTTATATATAGCCTTGCACACACTTGATGAAAGGCATCTAAGATCATCAGTTGAGTGAGTTTGTAATATCAGTTAGAGAGTGAGAGAGTTTGGGTGTAATTGGGTTTTTGGGTGTGAGCCACTTTGCCTTGTATCTCTTTATTTCCATAGTGAAATATTGTTTTGTCTTCTCTCCGTGGACGTAGGTATAGCCGAACCACGTAAATCCTTGTCTCGTTTGTGTATGTGCCTATTTATTTTTCTTGTCATTAATTTTTCTCTTTGTTCTCATAAGTTCCTATTCGATCCTTATTTCATAGCAAGTTGTATTCCATTTTTTTAACAGCAACCTAGATGAATTGTCAATAAAATGAGGTTGGCACAGAGAAACTTATGATCAAGCTGTGGATCCAAAATAATGAATTCTTTTATTACTTGAGACTTGCAAATGACAAAAAAATGAAATTCCTACAAAACTGCAAGCAACTATAAGTAGCACTAGAAAATTGTACTCAGTGGGTGGAATTTATAAATCAATAGGGGATCTTGTGGATTTTGTGGATAGCTTAAAAGTATAGGTGGCCGCCTTTGGCCATTTTTGTATTCTCTTGGGAGCGCCTTTAATGGTATCCTACCTATCTAAAAATAAAAATACACCATTGCTTAATCACTTGAGCGCTTGAAATGGGTTTGTAAGGAGCTAAGAAGCACGGACACTCCAAAATGGGCGAAGAATCCGTGTCCGACACGTGTTGGACACGGACACTCGTCGGACACGCCCCGACACGTGTCGGACACGCCAAAAAACGTGTCTAGAATTTTTTAATTTTTTTTAATTTTCGGACACGGCTTGGACACGGCTCAGACAGCTCGGACACGGCTCGGACAGCTCGGATACGGCTCGGACACGGCTCAGACACGGCTCGGACACACTTTTCTGGATTTTTTTTTTTAAATTTTTAATGTTGATATGTTATATTTTTTGTTTTGTACTACCCTAAAGATGCTGATATATATATATATACTAACCTAAAGATGCCACAATTCGCCGTGTCCGTGTCCTAAAGATGCTGATATATATATATACTAACATATCAGTGATATATATATATATTCCAACCTAAACATATCAGTGTTTTTTTTTTTTAAATTATTAATGCTGATATATATATATATATATATATATACTATTCGCCGTGTCCGTGTCCTAATTTTTTTGGATTTGCCGTGTCGCCGTGTCCGTGTCGTGTCGTATCCGTGTCCCGTATCCGTGTCCGTGCTTCTTAGGTAAGGAGAAGTGCACAATCTGATATGGTTCCCTTGCAGCATGTTTTGGAGAATGGTATGACAGGGAGATGCAGTCCTTTGGTTTGCTATGTTTAATGATATTGAGATGGCTGATAGATACCTTTTAAACTGGGTTGATACTTATAAAAAAAAAATGAAGCAGGGTTTGTCATTTGACAGTTAAATTAAATACACTTCTACTAGGAAGTAAAAGGAGAATGTGGGTTGTGCCGATAAGAAAAGCTAGGTAGTGTACAATTTACCAAAAGATATGGCCCTAGATAAAGAGCTGAATGGTGAACAAGGATTCATGTATTCAGTCACAAGTAATAAGGATATAAGGGTTTGTGGAGTTGTTTACTTGAGCTATATTAAAGGTCAAACAATTGCTTTTCCTAAAAAGAATGGGAGATTTTTTTAAAAATTTGTAGGAGTTTCCGTGGCCAACATCTTAGATTTTCGCATTTAGAGAGTACGAATAATACTTGCCTAAAGTATGAATTATTAAGATGTATAAATAAATGTATAAGGGATATGTGTGTTGTTCATAGACGCATATACAAACTATTAAGTTTTAAGTCGGTATATAATAAGTGGATTTAAGATAAGGCAAGAAGATATTTGCTAACTTGTTAGATCAAGTGGAAGGGGAGCCCACACAATTCCATAAAAGTACTTCCATTGAGGTGCCTGGTGGAATATTATGATAATAAGAAGCATTCTTCCTGCCTGTAATTATATTCACAAGATCTCGGCAAAAGGAGGGGGAGCGGTTGGTTTGACACCCAAGTCCTTCCTTGGGAAGGTATATGTATTAAGGACTTCGTTTAAAAGGAATTAAAAGAGAAAAAAATGTTTGGTAATATCTTATTTAAAATTCCTTTAAATACCAGATAAATTTTTAATTGACAATATTATCCTTTGCCTTCTTTTGGCACTCTAGAACGGAGTGCCCACTTCTAATACAATTAGTTTTTTTGCATTCTTTGTAATTCATGCCACTGAACCTTGGATATTAAAATGTCAGAATACCTTACTATTTAGCCATGAAAAATGAAATAAGTATATAACCTAGAAGGAGGCTGGTTCGAATTCAATCTGTGCTCCCTTCCATTTTCTTTTTCATTCTATTAGAAATGACGTTTTTTCTTTTTCTTCCTCACCCAAGAGGAGTTGAACCTTAGACCTGATGCTTCCTAAGGCACTAGGGCCAAGTTCTTACCCAATTGAGCCGACCCCTTGCAGTTGATATGACATTAACCTAAAAAAGAAAAGAAAGTTAGTCATAAAAACAGAAGCAGAAAAACGATACAAGATCTAAGATCACCCACTAATACATCAGGCAAGTAAGTGGTTGTGAGAGCGTGTCCTGGCTTCCTCTTTGGCCTAGAACTTAGCCTCCTTATTGGTTGACCTGTTAATCCAACTAAAGTTGTAAAGAGAAGAAGACCACTTCTGATGGGACACAAACCATTGCATCGATGGCTGGGCTTTTTCCATTAGCTTTGGGAACACCCTAATAACATGTCCCTCTGATCATAAAAAGATGCCACCATCAACAAGTCTTTATCTCATCTACTGGCTGTTTGATAGATATATAGATACACATCTACTATTGACTCTGTGAAGTGATAAAATCTTATCCTCAGTTGATCCTTTGGCAATTGTTTCCTTTCCTATATAGCCTCTGTTTTTTGGTCATCCTCTTGCCATTTTAGCACATTCAACTTAGAACATGTTTCTTTCTTTATACCAGTTCTGTAACATGCCCAAATCATGTTGAAGGATTCATTCTCATTTTATTTTCAATTAGTGCAACTTTATATTTCCGCAGATTCATGCCTTTCTTTTTGTATCTTTTCAGCACCATTTTCAGTTTAAAAACGTTGTATGAGTGACTAACAGAGTATAAGCATGTAATTTTTGGGGCCTTTTCCTTCCATATCAACTTCCAATTGGAAAGTACAGGAATTGTTATTTTTATTGAGGAACCTAAGATGAGCTTTAGAAGAAAACGAGCCAGTACTTTTAAGACACCTACATATTTTATTATGAAAGAGTGGAAGAGTAGATAAAATTATATTGTTATCATGATCGTTGAGGTTCTTTCATATTTTTCTTCTAAATACTAATGGTATACACTTAAAGAGCTTAAATAAGCAGAACCAACTATAGGACTTAAAGCTTGGTTTTTTTGAATGTTGGTGAGCTGCAAGCTTACTAAAGTTTCTTCTGGCCCTTGTTGGAGAGTTTGTGATGGATATGTGTACTATATACGTTTGTTTTGGTTATGCTTTAGTTGGTAAGAAGTTGGATAGTTTTTGTAGTTGTTTTCATTTTAAGTAGTTGGATAGTTCTTTTTTTTTCTTCTTCTTTTTTCCCCACTTGGTTAACTTTCAATTTTTTATTCTAAGGTCAAAGTTAGTAATGCTTCATAAGATACACACCTACTTCTTTTCGTCAAGGGTTTTACGCGATCTGATCGCCTAATTAATATATGTACAAGAGATGCGATCAGTATTTGATAATATTATCTACAAGTGTTTGTTTGTTTTTTTTTATAAATTTTATCACGTTTGATAGTGATAAATTTTATCATATTCTTTTGAAAATAGAAACATATATATGTATGTATGTGTGTGTGTGTGTATATATATATATATATATTTTACCTGGCAATTAAATATTTTTTTTCTTTCTTTAAACAGATCTTAAACCTTGACAACCTTGGGCAAATATATGAACTTTTGATTTTGACTTGGTACTGCGTATGGGGCTATATTAACGTTATTATACTCTTTTCAACTCAACAAAGAGATGAGATCTTTCAGTCTGCATCTAACATCTATCACCAGTTCTTTCTTATTGGTTGTTGTTTCTGTGCTTTCTTTATATAACTGGTATGGAGGTGGAGAAAGCTCATGGTAGTTCGCCACATATTTAGGAAGTTGGAACTTTCTAATTTTTATGTCATGTGTTGGTCATTGGAAAATATGTGTACATATATTCGTTTAAGCATAGCCCCTCAAGTTTTTACCATGTTGCTTAGATCTGTCAACTCCACACAAGGCAGATTATTAAGTGTTGCTCATGTCATGAGTTTTTTTTGGTTCTAGTGATAGTAGGTTGAAGCTTTGTGTCTATATTTTTAAAATGTTAATAGTCTTCATGGATTGTCCTTAGAGAGCAGAAGAATTCTTGAAGGCAAGTGAAAGGGGTGGCATTGTTGACCCTTGGCATTTTAGCGTTCTTGATTAATTTAATTTTGTCGAGTCTTGTTTTGAATGTACATTGCAATGATTGGATCAATTTTTTGATGTGTCCATTGCTTGTGCTGTTGCTTTAGGGTTCCATTCTTACACAATCCTCAATTATTCTTTTTCTCATTTAGTCAAAGTTTGTTGCATATCATACTCCAGGTAAAATTTGAGGAGTGAAATAGAAGTGTCCATGGGACGCGTTCCCCTATTGAACGCCTTTTTTAATTTATTATTACTTATCAAAAAAAGAAAAGAAATAGAAGTGAATATTTGAGGAAAAAAATGGAGTTCTAGAAGGTTGCAATGAGCTTAAGTATAGATAATCCTTGTTGAAGATTATGCAGAAAACCTCAATTTAAGGTTGCATCGTAATCTGTACTTCCATCAGCTAGAATCCTTTAGCTTTAATAAGATTTAAGTAGCTAGAGAAGTGGATCCTTGTGGGCGATTATCCAGAAAACCAATTCAAGGCTGCATCATGCTCCGAGTGTTACTTCCATGAGCTATAGTAAGTAGTGGAAGTATAGGCTACCATGTGCCCATGTCTACCCTAATTCCTGGAGGAGTGTCCCAATCTATTTGTGTAATTATTGCATTACCGATTTGGTGAATTACAACTAATATTGTTCCTTAGTGATTTTGGGGATTGTTCATTTGTTATAGATATTTCTGTGAGTTTGGGTGTTATTCTATATGATAACAACTCAACAACTGATCAAATCATTTTCCTAACTTTTTTGAGTTGTTGATCTCTTGTTGTTAGGGTTTGGATTAACACCCACGCTCGCAGGAAAATCTGTAACAAACAAAGAAGCCCCAAAATTTTCCAATGACCAATATTAATTGATTTACCAAATGTTAATTTTGTTAATTCACATATAAAAGTTTAACATTTAAGCGTTCATAAAAATTGTCATTATTTACATGTTCCATTAATGTGATAATACATGTTGTATTCTGGTTCGTGAATTTGTGCTATTCTATTTCTTTCACTCATTAATAGATATCAGCTAATGGTAAACTAATTTTTCTTCTGCAGATCAAAATGATATTTCAACTCGATTTGGTGGACAGGTAGCCTTCTTTGTCTCCGTGTATTTTGAATTGCAGTTCCTGGATGCTTCTCTTATCTAATGAGTAAAAAGTACTGGTTGTTTTAGGATGTAGATTGGAGAGAGAGACTGGCTTTGCAACACTTTAAATCTCTATTCTCGAGAGAGGCAAGTTCAAGTTATGAAGACCTATTTATGAGTTTATCCAGTTATTGTGATCTACCTTCTCAGTTTTTGTAGTTTCTTGCTGTTATATTAAACTCTGATTAAACATGTTTTTAGGTAATTGATGTCATTGCAGCCAACACAGATGATCTGGGACCTCTGAGTCTTGAGTTCTTCAGAAGGAATAATCTGTCTGCTTCTTGGAAAGTTGTTGGTCAGGAATCTTCAGTTGAGAATGACAACACTTTTGCTGAGGTCAGGATGACTATCATGCTTTGCCTTGAATTTTTTGCTTGTGTGTTTTCTTTTCCACTTTTTATGATGGATTATTCTTGTGAACTTATGGTTTATGATACATGATGTGTAAAGCCAAACCAAATAGCTGCAAACATCAAACAAGATGCTCGTAGAAGCAAACAGGAGGATTCTTCAGGTGGTAATATCTCTACTGAATCAATTTCCATGAAAAAAAAAGAAAAGAAAAAGAAAAAAGAGTCTTTCTTCTTAATATATTGATTTTAGATTTTACTATGCTTTGCTTACACTTTATTCTGATAGATGAATCTCCTGTCCCTTGCAGATGACCACTCTCAGTTTGTTGATACACCTGCCAGACTAGTGCGGAGGGTAAATGTCATTAATGGATGCATTTTATACTTTGATTGATATATAGTTCTTCACATATTGAAGACATAGTATTATGGAGCATTCTGGTAATTGCCAACTGGAGTATTATGGTGCTTTTTGGTAATTGCCAAATGGAAGATAAAGAAATAAACATCTGTGAAATCTTATGTCGTCTTTCTCTCTCTATATGTGTGTGTGTAATGTGTATATATATATTTAAGAAAAAAACTGTGTTATCCTGTTGAGTTTTATTTTTACTTGTTCAAGCTTTTCTGCAGCAATTGAGAGAGATAAGACGCGAGAAGCGAGTGGCTGGCTTGGTAAAACAAGATGATGAAGTAATTGTAAAACTTGAAAATGCAGCTATTGAACGTTCAAAATCGGTTGACTCAGCATTTCTGGGGAAATACAATTTATGGAGAAAAGAAAATGAGAATGAGAACTCTGATATAACAGTACATTTAGTGCGAGATCAAATGATTATGGCTAGGGTGTATATAAGCATTGCAAATATGAAGAACAAGCACGACTTGGCCAAAGAACTACAGAATCAACTCAAAGAAAGTCATCGCGCTTTAGGGGAGGCAACTGCTGATGCTGATCTACATCACAGGTAGTCTGGATCTGTGCATTTATTATCATTGGCATTTCTTCCTGTGCTACATATTGACGGTTCTGGTACTTTCATTTAATTCCACATCAAACATGTTTACAGTCCATCCGAGAAAATAAAAGCTATGGGCCAAGTGCTGTCAAAGGCTAGAGAGCAACTATATGACTGCAAGCTGGTCACGGGAAAGCTTAGAGCAATGCTTCAATCTGCAGATGAGCAAGTCCGGAGCTTGAAGAGGCAGAGTACATTTCTGAGTCAGTTAGCAGCCAAGACAATTCCAAATGGAATCCATTGCTTATCTATTCGCTTAACCATAGAATACTACCTCCTTCCGCCAGAGAAAAGAAGATTCCCCAGAAGTGAGAATTTGGAAAATCCAAATCTTTATCATTATGCCCTCTTCTCTGACAATGTCTTGGCTGCATCAGTTGTGGTTAACTCAACGATTATGAATGCGAAGGTAAAGGACTGTCATTTGACACTGCTGTCTCATGTACTTTTCATTTGTTAGATTTTGTTTACTTATAGTGACATGCCTTAAAATTACTGTCTACATTTCAGATTTTTGTATGTTGAAATTTTCAATCTGAATGCTTGGACCACTTAGGCCTCATCATTTTCTGGTATATATTTTCACGATTAATTGGTCACACATCAAATATGTGCTTGCAAAAATACTGGAATAGTCCGATGTTTGTACAATTGACCTTCTTAAAGAAATTGTAAAATGAGGTTTCTGAATCCTTCAGAATTGTTCTCTATCTTAATTTTGTTTGCATCAGCATTCTTTTCAGTGGGTTGACTTTGTTATGGATTTTTCACATTTTCGATGTGCTCAGAAACTGTGAATTATAGTTTTAGATTGTAGCTCAGATGCAAGTTTTTTAGACTGAATATGCCATTTGGCTGAATTGCAGGAGCCTGAGAAACATGTATTTCATCTTGTTACTGATAAGCTGAACTATGGAGCCATGAATATGTGGTTTCTGTCGAATCCTCCTGGAAAAGCCACCATTCATGTTGAAAATGTTGATGAATTTAAGTGGCTTAATTCATCCTACTGCCCAGTTTTACGGCAGCTAGAGTCTGCTGCCATGAAGGAATACTATTTCAAGGCAGATCATCACACCACTCTTTCTGCCGGTTCTTCTAATCTTAAGTACAGGAACCCAAAATATCTTTCAATGCTTAACCACCTCAGGTTTTATCTTCCCCAGGTTTATCCGAAGTTGGATAAGATCCTGTTTCTTGATGACGATATTGTTGTCCAGAAAGACTTGACTGGATTGTGGTCGGTTAATCTCCATGGTCAAGTGAATGGTGCAGTAGAAACCTGTGGTGAGAGCTTTCACCGTTTTGATAAGTATCTGAATTTTTCAAATCCTCATATTGCAAGAAATTTTGATCCCAATGCATGTGGCTGGGCATATGGGATGAACGTTTTTGATCTTAAGGAGTGGAAAAAGAAGGATATCACTGGCATATACCACAAGTGGCAGAATATGGTTAGTTCTATAAACCTTCTCTTTTGTGTCCTGTGTTTTCTTTTTCTTTTGTAAAAATCATTCATGTGTACCTTCAGCTTGAGTAGCTTAATTTCTGTGGGGTTGACATTGGCAAGTTACTGTTTTATTGAAAATCAGTCATATCGTGACTTTTGGATAAATACATAGTTTGATGTAGTTATTCCAGAAAAGAGGTTTTCCAGTTAATGATTCCCCCTGCCCCTCTTTAAAATGAGCACGGTCCTTCTATGGGCAGTTATTTGGCATGATGTAAGTGGCATGTCTTTAAGTAAATTTGTTGGTGTCACCTCCTCAGGTTTTATTTTTTAAATTACACTACAAGCATAACAGGAAATGCATCTTCCAAATGTTCTGATTTTTCCTTTCTTTTGTTTCTTCCTGTTCTTGTGGTGGTATTAGAATGAAGAAAGGGAACTCTGGAAGCTTGGTACTTTACCTCCAGGACTGATTACATTTTATCGCCTGACACATCCTCTTGAGAAGACGTGGCATGTGCTTGGTCTGGGTTATAATCCCAGTGTTGATCGGTCAGAAATTGAGAATGCAGCTGTTATACACTACAATGGGAACATGAAGCCATGGCTAGAGTTGGCAATGACCAAGTACCGATCATACTGGACCAAGTACATTAAGTTTGATCAGCCCTACATTCGCAGCTGCAAACTGGTGAGTAAATGAATGTTGGAATAGTAAGGTACAACCAGATCCTCTCTCTCTCTCTCATTTGAATCATCAGTTTAGCTTGATTTAGTATTGGACAGGGGAGGTGTTTTGCCTGTTCTGTGCTTTGTTTCCTTTCCCTATTTTTTAAATTGTTCATTCTTATGTGTAGTTCAAATTTTCTTTTCCATTTTTATCATCCCCACTTTCTGGAACTTGCTCATGAAGCCTACACTTTGTTGAATTGTAACAACTCCCTTCTGTATAAAAGTTATGTCTGATTTGAACTAAGGCAAACTTTAATTTTAAGATTTGATTGCGAATTTGGTGTATTATTTGAATGGAATCTTACACTTTTTTCGTAGTTAATTTTCAATGGGCTTGGAAATATTAATTGGTCAGACCTACGATTTTAATTATTTTAATATTAGTTGTTGGTATTATGAGCACTAACTGTATTTCAGGAGCACTGTGACAGGTCACCCTCTCTTGTGTTTTTTCAGACAGTGGCGTTGAAAAGGGTAAAAGGAGACATTTTAACTACAATGCTTTTGTCCTCCATCCTCCTTTTCTCTTCTTCTCTCCCCCATTTAACGAGTTTTGAGTCATCCGATTTCTTTTAAGTTTTGATTTAGCTTACGTGATAGAACAAGACCTCCATGCCAATTTGTGGTTCAGCCAAGTACTTCCCATTTTTATTGCTGCTTGATTTCATAGTAAAGTATTTGAGTTGTTTGTGATGTAGGTAGAGAATGGAAGTTTGTTTGTTACTTTGCAGTGGCATTGTAGGCTGAAATTAGTTGCAGGGAGGAGTTTATTTATACTTTGGGTCTCCCAATTTTGGACTTTATTTATACTTTGGGACTCCCAATCTATGATTAATTGTTGCTTTGCAGTTCCATTGTAGGCTGAAATTAGTTTCAGGAAGTAGTTTATTTATACTTTGGGACACCCAATTTATGATTAATTATTGTTATGAGCAATGTGGAAAGAGCAATGGTTCATTTGGACTTCAAATTTTCATTAGAAACAAGTGATGTTACCTTCCCCATATGCTGGAGGAACTGTAATTTTTTTTTTTTTTTAATGTACCCTTGGTAACTTGTTCATCCACATAGGCAATCATAGTACTGAACCCTTCTTTTATAATGGTTTTACAGAATCTGTAAATTTTAGTTGTGTACTTGGGTTATTGGAAAGACTATGACCTTGTGTGCATCAGATTCTATTTGGCGTAGAAGCTGCAGGTTTTTTGCCTGTCAAACAAGCAAATTTTTTGGAAGGGTATTTCACTGTAACAGGCAAGAATGTGATTGTTATTTATATGTATCATCAATCTGCTATTGAGCAAAAGAGTTGTTTCAGTTCAGTTTTGTGCTGCATTTTAAACCACTGGGCTTGTATGTATTTCGACTGTGAATTGCACGGTGAACTACTTTCTTCAGTGTCAGGTTCGTTCCATCGCCATTTTTGTAGACTTATCTTTTATGCTCTTTGATTTATCTAAAGATTGGACTGGGATTATTTATCATCTAATTGTTTTGAAAATGACACTTAACCTTTTGTTTTCCCCTCATTTTTAGAATGATGGGTTTGATTCAAACATGGACCAGTAATGGTGATTTTGATAATACAATTCATAAGTAGATGCTAAATTCGGCCAACTTATGGTTATTATTATTTGGTATTTTGCAATTCCACATCTTTGGTCTTATCACTATCTTTTTATGTATATCTGAGTGTACAAATGTTATACAATATATAAGACATACAAGGATGTGAAATGCAGAGGTATTTTGTCGTCCTGATTTTTTTGGTATCACAGCCAATATGGTGAAGACAGAGTAGCATCCCACCCAGGTCCAATTCGTTTGAAGTATAGAATGTCCTGATGGTCATGTTGAGTCGATGAGTTGAGCGAAACTAAAAAAGAAAAAGATTCTACAATCAACGATCGGGCAGTCAAATTCGATCTACGAATTGGACAAATTATTCAAGTAGACCACTCTTTGAACTTCAAAGTGGCCACAGCACAAACTTATCAAAAACAAAAAATTCAGGTTCTTGTCCTTCAAAGAAGAAAGTTCCATAAATTGGCACAGTCTCCATTTCTAGAGCTGCCGGTATCTCCTTTCCTCAGATGTGATGTGAGGTGATTCTCTTCTTTCTTTACCACTTGTTGTAATTCCTTTCATTTATCTTGGACAAAACATCTTTTCTAGCTTTTTCTCTCTCTACTTTCCTGACCATAATCAAAATGTGAATATGGGGTAGTATCACATCTGCTCTCCAATACCTCAAACACTCAAAAACCTGTAACTCCCCCACCACCTAGTCAAAATTTCTTTACGCATCAAAGGGTAAAAAGCTACGGTTCACATGTACGGATCATCAAAAAGTTTATTTCACTGGTGGGAATGGAGGAACTCTTGACTGGTTACATACAACTTCACAAAAAAGGGGTTGCGTCCTACCGTGTTAGTGTTACTAAAACAAAAAATAAAAATAAAAAACACCAAGCAAAAGCAGTTTATCAAGAGTTAAATGTTTTTTTCTAATTTAAATGAAAAGTGAATATCCTGATGCACTAGTTTTTGTGTGTGTGCGTGTGTGATGGAATAATGTTAAACAGGATATTATGATGTGTTGCATGACCAACCTCACAAATTACATCCCCACATTGAGTGATCAAAATCAATGTTTATAAAGTCAAACCACACACACACACACCATTTGTAATTTTTGCATGAGATCGGGAATTTAATTACTTTATGCTAATGTCTTTTCCATGAGTTCTTGCAGGCCATGAATTCAACATTCGTGATTCAGTCCGCAAATGGTGGGCTCTCCAACTCCTTACAATCTTCATGATTCACATTGTTTAAGATTGTACTATAATTGTTGTCAAGACTTTCATGGGAGTTTTTTTTCCCAGTAATTAAATATGTATACAAACAAGAAAAAAAAAAAAAAAAACAACCAAGCACAAGAACATGGAAAAACCAGAGAACAGAACAGATAAAATAAACTGAAGAAATAAACTTACCAACTGCAAAGCTCACCAAGAGTTTAGTGGGAATCATTCTAGTTCCTGAATTTCGTTAAATTTCTTATTTCTTTATTTATTAAAATATAAATAAGCTGCTCAATATAATAAATTACATTTATGGCCTCTACATCAAAACGGGTTTATTTGGTATGAAATTGAGTTCGAATAGCACAAGAATTTTGCAATTTTTATACTTAATTTTTGGTGTCACGTGGTATTATACAACCTTTAAATATGGTTGTGCAATGCAATACTTTATCTGTTTGTATAATGAAGATGGAGACAGCTTACTCTGTTTTATGCATGCGGTTAAAGTGTTTGCCATAACAGTTGTAACATTATGTGTTTTATCGGAAATGCTCAAGTTTGGTGGCTGAATTTAAATGTTTGGTATGTTAACATAATGTTGTAATTTTATTTTTTTTTATTATTATTTTTTTTCTGCAAATATAACTTTGAACTTTTGATAAAATTATATATAACTTTTGAACTTATAATATGTTTACAGTGCGAATTATACCCTTCAAAAATATCCCTAAAGTTTTAATTTGTGCAAATAAGTCCCTCTTAAGTCCTGCCACATTTAAGGTTAAGTTTGCCTAAATTGCCCTTATTTACACATTTTATATACATAGTATTATTTAAAACTACATATTTTGTGAAATGGCTAAAATGGACACAAAGCGAAATGAATTCATTCAGCATATGAGGGGTGTGATACACACTCTAAGCATATTATAGGGGTATTTTCTGCATTTTACTCCAAAAATTGTTGTTTTGAATTCGAACAACAAGTTTTTGCTATGTAAAGAATTATATATAAATATATATTTGTGAAAATTTATTGCAAATTGTAAGTTTAAAAAATTAAATGTATTATATATATATATATATATATATAATGAATAAGTATCATTAATTTAATTTTTAATTATATATTTAATAAAAAAAATGACTATTATATTAAATTTTAATTGAGAATAATTTTTTCTTTTTTATAATTATAAAAAGAATTGAGGTTTTCATTCCATGTGATATACTCTCCATTAATATGATAACTGTGAGAGCAATTTTTTTTTTGGAGATATTTTTTGTATCTCCATTTGACCAGTTAAAAAAAAAAATACATATATTAGAAATTTCTAAATTACAAGTGACATTAAGTCTTAAGAAATGTATAACTCTCAAGTCCGAGAGAGATAACACATTGTTGGGGGAAATATATAGAGAAATTATTAATTAAATTTTTTTTTTTTTTTTTTAAAGGTGATAAAGTGGGTTAAATGTGCACATAATACCCCTATATTATGAGATTATTAGCATACACACCTCTTGGACATTTTCAGAAAAGTAAAAGAGCAAAGGACATTACAACATTACTTTATGTCAGATTTATGTTTGAGGAGTATTTTCGCACAATGTTAAAAAAAATAAAATGATTATTAGTACATTTTTTCAAATATGAGTGGAAGTGTTAGGCAGTGTTTTCTGCATTACACCCACATATATATATATATATATATATATATTTCATGGTAGCTATAAACAATAAGACAATCAACAACCTCTCAAAGTTGAAGACAATTGACAAAGAAAACCTCAATGAAAATGCTATGTATACGATGTGACAAAGCAAAACATAAAACCCATTAATTTAAAGCGTGAAAATATGATTTTAAAATTAGCACGCGATAGTCATGAAATTGTCTGCATCAAAAGTGAGATTGCAATTGATGGAAAGACAAAGTTTGGCCATTTGATATTCATTTATTGAGATATTTTTACTGTTAATGGGAATGCCATTATTTCAAAGCTTCCATGTGAGGAAGGACGTTTTAGAGAAGAAATCATTCTAAAGACCAAACACGTTTAATTGCTAGGAAGTTATGTAGTGAATTTAAACACATGATTGTGAACATACCTAACAGTAACAGAGCACATGCATTTGGCTAAAATCTTAATATCTACTCTCAACTTTCTATGTACATTCATTGATGAGGACCTCTAGATGTTTGCAACTTCTTCATTGTGTGCATTTCGCGTGTTCGCTATATGATGTGTGTGTGTATGTATATATATGGTTCGATATTTCATTATTACAGCACTCAAAGCCAAAGAGGATATTAATTATTTATGACCTTTAAAATTTAGGCATGCATTGGATATAATGGCTAGCATAGGAGAAGGTATACATTATGATTCCTATAAAATGAATTTTGGGACGGTTACACTTATGTTATGTTTGGGAGCATTGAATCGGTGGCTTGAATTTAGAATTGGAGAAAGTTTATTTCAAAGTTTGTATTAAATTTTCTTCAATCCCAAATTCAGTGACACCAAACATAGCACAATCTTTTTTTTATAGATTGTCCATGTTGACATAATCTTTTTTTGTAGATTGTCTGTGTAATAGTGATTTTTCTTTAATTTCAAATATAACACGACATTCCTTTTGATTCAGGTTTGAGTAATACTGACCTTCGATCTCATAAAATCTGGCACTCTTGTACGCTGATCTCATAATGCTCAAAGTTGGGTTGCTTGTAGAGAAGGTATGCATTATGGTTGTAATGAATGCTTCAAAATTAATGAGTAATATAGAATTAGAAAATAGGCACATTATTCTGTACCAATTATTGATGATTGAAAGGAAAATAGTTTCTCATGCTCAAGGAATGAGCTATTATAAATTAGTGGAAGACCAAATTGAACATAAATTATAACAAAAAGCAGAGTCCTGATCGATGAGCAATGATTTATGTGACATGTAACACAAACAAGTTACACATACATAGATATACCTTTGTGTGTGTAAATGAAGGAGCAAATTGAACAGAAAATTTAACCAAAAACAGAGTCCTGGAGCTAGTATTTGTGACATGTAACACAAACTAGTTACACACACTTACATAATTTGTGTGTATACATACATACATATATATATATATATATATATATATATATATATCTGTATGAGTGTGTGAATGAAGGTAACCTAAAAGTTAATATGTAAGGCAGACATGTCAACAAATTAGTGTCCATATCCATATGTTAATATAAGATTGAGCATAAACGGCTAATAAAAGAGTTCTAATGCAAAAGAGAACAGCATACACTGACAAATACAGTTGTTGAAGATATTTATAAAAAATACATAAACGAACATAGCATGACTGTGACACCAATATATCTCAACATAATCCTATTGGTGAGAGAAAGGCATCCAATGAAGAGAACCTTTATCTCCCACAGCTCTCAAATCATTTCTACAGTATATATACACACACACACACATCACCGTACATACACCGTATGTACTATATTACAAGTCTTATTTTTTATTTTTTGGTTATATATATGCACTTATCTATTTATTTTGTTTCCAGACTTAGAGGATAAGGGTTCGAGTTTACCAGGACTAAGTTTCTACTTACTTGGTTCATTTAGTCAATATCGAACTCAAACTCAGACTCCAATTTGAGATCAGGATTTATGTGAAAAAATCAATCATGCTTATGTTTACACTTTCAATGAGATTGTATATGAATAGTTAATATATCTGGGTCGGGTCATACATAGCTAGGTTCTTTAAGTTTAACTTGTTTACATCGAATTCAACTCATTTACGTAGCAGTTAGCAAATCAATACACTATTACAAAAAAAGAACAGAATTAACGCACATAATTATTATATAGTATATACTGAGAGATCGAAAGCACACTGTATATACGTCTTTAATTTAGTCATTTCTTGTCAATTGCATATTCATTTGTATTTGGTCTAATGAAGTCCATGACAAAACACAAAATATTTTAATGTATGGAGAGGAATGACGCAACAGTGAAATTCAAAAGATTCCAACCATTGTATACCGACCTCCCCAATGAAGGGCTTTGGCTTTTATATTAAAGCTCTCTTTTCACTTCCTCTTCTTAAACTCTCTCTTCGACTCATTTCTCACCATCTCTCTCTCTCTCACACACATACACTCTCTCTCATGGTACAAACTTACATATCCAATGCCAACTGATTGTTGCAATACTTCAAACATGTCAATGTCTCCAACAATAGACAAAGCAGCAAGTGATCAAAAGGAAACTAATCTGGTTTTTGATGCATCTGTTCTTCAACATGAATCCAACATACCAACACAGTTCATATGGCCCGAAGATGAACAAGCTTGCCCTGAGCCAGTTCCACAACTTTATGTCCCTCCCATTGACTTGGGAGGCTTCCTCTCCGGTGATCCACTCGCCATCTCAAACGCGACTAGGCTCGTCAATGAGGCTTGCCAGAAGCATGGTTTCTTTCTAGTCGTGAATCATGGCGTCGATCCAAAGCTCATAAATGAAGCTCACAAGAACACGGACTTCTTCTTTGGCTTGCCACTATCACAAAAGCAAAGAGCTCAGAGAAAGCCTGGTGAAGTATGTGGTTATGCTAGTAGCTTCACTGGTAGGTTCTCCTCCAAGCTCCCTTGGAAAGAAACACTCTCTTTTCGATATTGCAACGATCATCACTACTCAAACATCGTTGAGAAGTACTTCTTCAACTTAATGGGCGAAGAATTTAGACAATTCGGGTATGAAAGCTACTTACCAATCTCTGTCTTTATATATTTTTTATTTAATTTCTTATATAGTGTGGAACTTGACGCAATGTTAAAGTTGCTCCATTGTGACCTGAAGGTCAGGATAATTCAATTTTCATTTGTATTGATTAGTTGGCTAGCTCATTTTAATTTATTATTATCATTGTTTTTCATTCTTTGAAGCATTTAATTTGAATATTTTCTTGAACTTGGTTATGTTAGGAGGGTGTGCCAAGAATATTGTGAAGCCATGAGCAAACTCTCCCTTGTGATCATGGAGCTTTTGGGCATGAGCCTAGGGGTTGGACCATCCCATTTCAGAGAATTCTTCAAAGGCAATGATTCGATAATGAGGTTAAACTACTACCCTCCTTGCCAAAAACCCGATCTGACTCTCGGGACCGGGCCTCACTGTGATCCCACATCTTTGACAATCCTCCATCAGGATGATATTGGTGGCCTTGAAGTCTTTGTCGACGAAAAATGGCACTCCATACGTCCCAATTCAGAAGCTTTTGTGGTCAATATAGGCGACACATTCATGGTACGTACGTCAAGAAAATGCTATACTTTCACTTTGAAATGATCTCTTTCATGAAAAAGTTCTCTCAGTACTTTTAGTGGGCTCTGTCAGATTTCGTAGATTTAATAAAGCTTGTTGGAATGGAGTCACATCAATTTTTACATTATGTCAAAGTTTTTAACAGCTTGATCTATGTTTAAGAGTTTAATGCATGGCTAAATTGAATAAATTAAGGGACTCAATTATTTGGAATCAGTATGAAGTCCCTTTCAAGCCACTTGATTAATAAGGTTAGACAATTGTAATGTTGCTTCATTGTGATTTGGAGGTCACGATAGGAAACAATCTCTTTACATACAAAGATAAAAAGATAAAGCTACATACATCTGACGCAACCCTACCAAGCACCGCAATGACGAGAGCCTAGTTTGCCTTTTTCTTAGCATAAACTTCAATATATTCATATATGATGCAAGTTAATTGATCTGAGAGGTTTAATTTGCAGGCTCTATCAAATGGAGTTTACAAGAGTTGCTTGCACAGAGCAGTGGTAAACAATCGAAGTGCAAGAAAATCTCTAGCATTCTTTCTATGTCCAGAAATGGAGAAGGTGGTGTCCCCACCAAAAGTGTTGGTTGATGCTGATAATCCAAGACTGTATCCAGACTTCACATGGCAAGCACTTCTCGAATTCACTCAGAAACATTACAGGGCAGACATGAAAACCCTTCAAGCATTCACCAATTGGCTTCAACTTAGAAACAACTGATCATCAGAGATATATATATAAATAATATATATATATATATATATATATATATATATATATATATAAACTGATATGTCCATTTTAATTAATTAACTACACTGAGAAAATGGACACAGAAGGGGGAAGAGAGAGAGACAGAAGAAGAAGAAGAAGAAGAAGAAGAAGAAGTGGGGACTTTGGTGTCCTTGTTGGTGGTTTACGGAGGAGAGAGCCAACAGAAAAACCAAAGAGAAGGGCTCTGGTCTGTAACTATCTTTTAGGGTTTATGTAATGGAGAGAATCATATGTATATGATAAGCTACTTTGAAGAAATAAATGAGGTCCTCTTGTTCATAAATTTGAGTAGTGATTGGTCCATTTGAATAGAGTTGGACACCCTTTTCGGTACTCTCTCTTAAAAAACAGTATCATTTTTCTCTCTCTCTCTCTCTCTCTATAGATATATATAAACTTTCGTCCATATCTCAATTAAGAAGCAACTTGCATGTAAGATATAGTTAAACTTTGTTTTTGTTCACCTAATTCTATTTTTGACCTTGACTGACGGGTTCAGTTATCTATAGTTCAAGCAAAATTACATCCCAATCATTCTTTACTGAAAAAATGTTACATGTGTGGCGCGTTTGACCATATCTATAACCTAATAACCAATACACTTACATGCACGTGTGGATGTTACTGTCTTTCTCTTCTTCTTCTTCTTTTTTCTCTTTTTTTCTTTGTTTTTTTTACATTAAATAGACTATGCTAATAATCTTGTACTATTTGGCAACATGTTGGTATCTGAGTAATTGAAAAGACCACACTAAACTGAGGCCATGGAGTACTTTAAAAAGAAAAAAGAAAAATAAATAGAAGAAAAACTAACTGAGGCCATGATGAATCCTTTATAGTAATAGTGTTTAAGTTTCATTAATATTAGACTACACTACCTTTAGTTACTTTCATATTCACCAATAACATATTTTAAAATTATATTTGGAACCCGTATTAAAAGAACAATTTCAAAAAAAAAATACACACTTGTGTTCCAAACATGTTCTAGAAACTAGAGGGATCCCTCATGTATCGCAATGGTGTCCAAGTGGTGTTTCTGAGATATTCTAGTCATATATATATATATATATGAAACCACACTCAAAGACACTGTCCTGCAAGGCTGCAATGTGGCCACGTGTCAAACCTAGGACCCTAGGAGAGAGCTAGTTCATGTTTTAGAGGAAGGAAGTCATTAATGAAAACTAATTTGTAGGTATTTTAAATAACACTGATCCAAACACAAACCCTGTTAAGGTATGTGCAATCCTTACACTAAAGACCAGCTTTATGGTACGAAAGTGCTTTCCGAGTGTAAATGGCATTAGCAAAAATCATATTGAGTCATAAGCTTTCAAGACTAGATAGCATTGGCATATATGGTTTGGGTTGGTCTACAAAAAGCTACAAAGAAAGAATGCTATTAACAGTCATTGTATTTCTTCACATGAAAAAAAGAAAGCTAATAACATATATATATATATATATATATATATATATATGTTATTAGCTTTCTTTTTTTCATGTGAAGAAATACAATGACTGTGAGGTTCTCAAACAGTTGAAGCATTTTCTGATGCCGACTTATATGGAACAACACGCTTCAACTAACTTTATTCATTAAAAAGTCATCCCTCTCTCTCTCTCTCTCTCTCTCACACACACACACACACACCGTGCACACTGCACACACTCATTATATATGATAACAGCCACAAAGAAACAAGTAAAATGTTAGAAACAAAATGACGTATGCAGAAACAATTTGATATGGAATGCATAATCAAAATGGAGATATTTTAAGCTGTATCTTGAGTGGGGATTTCTTTTGAAGTGCATTGCACTTAACCAATCAAAATGAAGATATCTCAACTTGTATCCTGAGTAGGGATTTTCTTTGAAGTGGATTGTGCTTAAGTTGACATTTTGGTGTGACCTCACTCATTCACAAACTCCTGAGTAGGGATTTTCTTTGAAGTGGATTGTGCTTAAGTTGACATTTTGGTGTGACCTCACTCATTCACAAATTACTTTTTGTGAGATATATATTTTGTAGTTGGCGAATTTCGGTGTCAAAATAAGTCCGATCGAATTTTCTCTTCAAATTTAAAATTCAAGATCGAGATCGGTTGCGGAATTGAAGATTTACTCGTGTTTGATAGGTTGAAGTCTATGAAAAGGTAAGAACGACACTTTAGGAAGTTGAGTTAGAAGGTTAGAATACTTGCATGTATGAGTTTATTTTAAAACTATAAAATTTTCTAAGTGTTAACCATCAGTTCAAGTCTGGGCAACTTGAATTGATTCCATGCAGCTAAACCGGCTCAAGATTCATTACTTTGAATTTTTCAACACTGGCCAACTTGAACTGGTTCCATGCAGCTGAATCGGCTCAAAATTCATTACTTCGTTTTCAACACTGACCAACTTGAACCGGTTCAACCTTCCTGAACCGGTTCAAGGACTTTAAACAGTTTTGATAACTTAGTTTACTGATTTGTTTAAACTTCCTCTTTGGTATAGAATTCATTCCAAAAACATGAGCACGAATTTAACTTTTTTTCCAAGTATATCTAGGTTTCTGAAAGTCTATATTAACATGTTTTCTCATCTAGGTTGGTATGACTTTTTGCATTAAACTTTTGATTTCTTTTAAAGCCTTTTTATGAGATTTTTAAGAGTATACACACTGTATACACATGAGTGATTTTAGAGTGTTGTTCAAATCCTTATCATGTTCAAGTCAATTGAATATTGAATCTATAATGATCAGAGAAAGCAGATCTATTAATTTTTTATCAAATTTAGATTTGAAGAAAATGGGTGAAGCGATTACACTTTGAAATGGTCAAAGTATTCGTGGAGTGTTAATTGATCTACTTGCAACTCTTCTATAGAGATTAAGTGTAAACCTAAGGTCGAGAGCTGTTGAATAGAGGAGTCGCAAAGTCAAGGATTGTCAGCAATTGATTTTTATTAAAACGGTAGAGTGTAAGCTTGAGTCAAAGTTCATTATATTTTACTTCAAACATAGTGAATTGTTTTGCTCTGGACTGTACAGTCTATGAGGTTTTTCCCACAACAATTGATCTCTTTTGCCAATCAGGGTTTCCTCGCTAAAAATCCTGATGTCATCTCTAAACTTTACTTGCTTTTATCTTGCATATGAATGTTTAATTAATCATTAAATTTACTAGAATTAATTGAATAGAGAAGCACGAGATTAAATCCTCTCTAGATAAAAACTTAAACTTTCCACAATATATTCCGTTGCACAACTCACATTTTTTACTGTTAATTTGTATGAAATTTTAGTATCAGATGCTAGCTTGTACTATTAATTATGTTTATTAGGGATTATTAAAACTAATTAAGTTATTGCATCAATTTTTTTCCCCCCTCTTTTCTATTATGCCTTACCCAAAAAAAAAAAAAAAAAAAGGACGAAGAAATGTAAGGAGTTTGTTTAATGGTCATAATTTAGAACTCAAAACAAATGGTATATAATATCCCAACGTATATAGTGATATTGTATATTTTTCAAGCATTACATTTGTTTTTCAACACGTTACATATATTTTTCAATATAATGATTTTCAACTCATTATATCTGGCTAAAAATAATAGATGTAAATGTGTTAAAAATAAAAGTAATAGTGATGTAGAAAATTGCTATGCTACAACATCAGAATTTATAGCAGATTATCTGGACGCCATAATTTAATGAAAATTGATTCTCTGTTCTAACAAATAAGGCTCCTCTTTTCAGTTTTGTCTTTGGCTAGTGTCACTCCTCTCATGAAATTGGTGTTACGTTTGCTTCTCAACACATTATATTTGTTTTTCAATACATTACATTTGCCTAAAAAAAATAGATATAAATATGTTGAAAATAGATGTAATAGTGTTCAAAATCACTATATCACCAAAATTTATAACAGAGCGGGTGCCATAATTTAATGAAAGTCGCTTTTATGTCAGAAAGCACGAGATTAATCAAATAATGGAGTATTGAAATAGATTTTGGAGTGAGGAGGATGCACCAAAACAAAATAGGGCCACATGAAAATATTCAAATATATAGTCCGATCATTATCATCCCAGTGTGATATTGACATGAGGGGGAGGATTCCTAGGCCAGGGTCATGCACATTATGTGAGAGTTACATCTATACATATATATGTGTGTGTGTGTGTGTGTAACAATGACATTGAGACAGATTATAGTTCAACAAAACAGACAATTGAAGCTGCAAACTTTTTTTATTATAGTGAATCAAACAAAAGATTTTGAACTTGAAAGGGGGATAGAGCTAATGCAACTTCGTATATATTAATCCTTCTCAATTAGGTTGAAAGAGTTTGATACTAACTGTCCCTGCAAAGGCCAAATAGTACTTTATGATGAATGCTGCCAAAAACATCATATATTCATCTTAATTTTTAAGGAGTGCAATTAAGGCTCGTAACAACATCAGCTATATCATTTCGGTTCTATCTCTTCAGCTATTCTTTTAATTTATTTTTACAGTGGTATTTAACCAGATGATATTGAGATATTTTAGTGTTTGGAGTTGTCTCGTTTGTTTAAACTTACCCCAAAAAAAAAGAAAAAAGAAAAAAGAAAAAAGAAAAAAGGAGGAGGAGGAAACTCTTAATTATCAAAGGTTAATATATAATATATGTTGGGTAAATTACATTAACACTCCTTGATGTTAGGTCAAATATTATATAAATGAACATTTTAGTTTTAATTTTTACTTACGCCCCCAAATTATTTTTTGGACTCTGACACATGCGAATTGATTCATTTACTTCATTTTTTTAAAATACAATTTAGTACAAAATATTTATAAATTTAAATGACAAAAACACCCCTGTATAATATTTTCATAAAACCCAGACATCCAAATCACATTCTCTCTCTCTCCCTATCTACAAGACCCATATTATGTTTGAAGTTTTCCCTATATTCTGATTCTCTAGTACTTTTCTCATTTTAGTTAGCAACTTGGGTGAGTTATCCCTATAAATAACTATTAGATTAAAGACACCAATTAAATGATAATAATGATGTTTTGGCATGGATTTTTATGTGGAATTGAGTATATATGCATGATAATTTATTTTTTATTTTTAAAAGAGAGCTCGTTTGCTTTACCAAATTAACAATATTCTAAGAAATTCTCTTTAAGCTTTTCTTTACTGATCATGTATATATAAAGCAGTGTTTCAATGGAGCTTTAACTTTTACATTTTGCTGATCTTTTTACACATATATTCTTGGAGGCATGCATAGTTTGTGTAGGTATTAAGAAATATTATCTTCTTTTTGTTCTTTTCCACATTCATGTCTTTAAACATAAAAAGAGAGAACAATGGATGGGCCAACTCAGACTATGCTTGGCCTGGTCTAAATATTCCAAGTAGGTGAACAGGTTGAAGCAAAATATTCATTTATGTGAGATTTGATTTAACTTCAAGAGGTGTTAAGTGTAACTTAGCGTTAAATATTTGTACATATGTGTCTTTTTTCCTGTGTCATCCTGTTGGATGTATGTTTACTCTCTCTATTTGTATCTATATATGTGTATATGCATTATACACAATCACACAAATATATGTGTATATAATATATGTGTGTTTTTGTGTGCCTGCCTGCCGTCACTACAGACGAAAGCGTCCTCTCTTTGTTCAACTTGGAAAACGCATAGTTTCACGAGGAAGCATATGGTTTTGTATCACTGTATAGGTTCTCTAACCCCCATTGTACAAAGAAAACTCTTCTCAGAGTCGAAATCGGCTTAAGCCGAGTAGACAGTTGACACACCTCTATGTTTATTCCCTCGTCGCAAGTTCGATTCACCAAATAATCGACACTATTTATGTACATATTGTGTGTGTATTCTATATATTCCGTCCCTTGTGACCAATTATTATTTGTGGATGTGTGTTTGAGTGTCTGTTACACCTTATGAAAAGTGTCCATACATTTTTAAAGAAAGAATTAACCATCACCGAAGATTCGATCATTTGTATCATGTCACATGTGGTCAATAAAACTAACCAGACACAATTTATTACTCGGAATTTATTAACATGCTATTATTATGTTAACTATTATCCTAAATTAATTTGTATTAACTTGCCTACTCTCACTCCTACAAGCTTCAAAGTAAATCTAGTTGACAGATCTCGTGTCACTATCTTTCTACGTGGATATATATTTATTTTTACCTGGTTAGAAAAGGATGGACATCATCATCCTTCGCCATAATTGAACCGCAAGTGACAAATGTGAATATATATAAAATGAAAAAAAGAAGAAGAGAAAAGCATGAAGTGACTAATCTGCGAGACCATTATTTTTCAGACCAACAGAACAACATTTTTTTCATGTTGTAATGAGGAATATGCTGGTTAATTTGGCTTGTGCATGCATGTATATACTGCTTTTTGGTGTTTATACAGAATCATCTAAAGAGACAATAATAAGATAGAGAACAAAAGAAACAACAAAGTAACAAAACCTAACAACAGTCTGATCCCCCAAGTTGTTCATATTTATAATGCATATTGTCAATTGACCCTTCAATCATTCCAATCGGTGTGCACTACCTCCTGACTTTAATAATCCAATTTCATAGGGATCCAATAATATGTTATTACACTATCAAATATTGCACAACACGTTATATCTTCTTTGTCTGTGAATGATTCATTCATACAAGTGATGCTACAATTGATGACATTGCACGACAATTGAGAGAGAGGAAAGTGCGTAGAGTCCACCACCTCACACTCCTATCTCTTAATTGGTGTCGCAATGTCGTCACCTAGCTCTTAGTTAGTGTCGCAATGTCGTCAATCATAAGCTTTTCTCATGCAAAATACATCTAAACATCTTTTTTCTTTTGAGTTCCTTCTAATTAACAGTCTACTTTTGCTTCTTGTATTTTGGCATACTGTCTACTATTTTATTATCAGGTCCATGGTATGTCTGCCTATAAACCAGAAAACATAAAAATTAAAAAATTAAAAACAGACGCGTAACCAAGTTAAAGAAGCACAAACCCTAACCATAAAAAGTTATTTAGAAATAGGTTTCATTCGAAAGGTAAGTGTGATGCGGCTACTTGATCCTCTGATGCATGTGAAGTTGTCCAAATATGGATACCGGTAGAGAGTCACCAGATACACAGCCAACTGGGTTATACCACAAAGGGACTTTAGCTTAAATTTGGTCAAGTAGATCCTCCCACGTGATACCATCTGCTAATATACTAAGACCTTCGTTGCAAAATTGAAGATGCATAATTTTGACCTAATTTTGTAAAAAGTGAGTAATCTCATACTCCAAACTATATGTACCTTCAAGCTTGCTAGTCTTCTACCGTTAGACCTAGCAATGCCCATGTGCCATCTCATAATACAGCAGAAAGGGGCAAAAAGGCAGTATATGGAAACCTTGAGGAACTTGTAAAGCTCTACAAAACATTTCTTTACAACTGGGGTAGAAGTCGAATACCCTAAATACATTATATATAATTAAAGGGCAACCAAGATAGATAGAGAGGGAATTCACAGGCAGAGCCAAAACGCTATAAATACTCAACAAAATATGCGAGTTAACTAGGAACATAGGGTTCAAAAAGTTTTACACAAGGATCAGGAGCATATTGCATAATTTCTGCAGCAACTTCAAATTCCTCCCGCAGGACTTTTATGCTATATTTGTCCACCACTCGACCTAGATCGTGAGACATCACAAAGGGATCCTCTATGCATATCAGATGACGATCATTCCCAATCCTCCTAGTCCAGTCTTTGGCTCGCTTGCTGTAAATATAATAACATTAAGAAGCTATTAGTTGGATAGTCGAAAGAAAATAGGATCAATGCTTCGATTTCTGTGGAACTTCTATATATTAATTTGCAATTTTAAACTATTTGAAAATTTCAACAAGAAGAAGAAATAGACACTAGTGCAAACACCCATGAATGTGAGTCCTTAAATGAGGCACAAAAACATTATGGTAACTACATATCACGTATGAAAGAAATTGTTAAGAGTTGTTGGATGCCACATTTATACATATATATACAAAGACAAACTTTGAATTCATTACTTGGTTAAAACCAATACACTCGATAAAAATTTCCCACAGTAGAAATTAACCAAGAAAAGAATCTTTAGACAGCCAATAGCACTAAAATGGTATAGCCAGGGTAGGAATGAGGAACCCAGCATAGAGACAATGGCTCTACTACTTCCTCATGGGCAGCCTTCCAACTTCTCCGGGCTGTCCGCATTAGAAGAGGCTTGACAAGATACAACAGTCCCTAGCTGACATCAAGTAAACCACAGCGAGCATCCTGATTGCATGGAGTAAGATGAACTTCTTGAAGATAAGATGCTATAGCTATTTCTAGGATTAAGATACTGTGGTCAGTACTTAGGTGCTAGTTTACCTACTGATATTTTGTTTCTATTTTGACATTTAGATGAGAAACTTTAGTTGTTTACTAAATACACACATATTCTCTCATGACTTGTTTTATCCATATTTCTAAACTGCATGTGATGTGATTTGGATTTGTGGGCCGTTTAGTCATATCAAGACACCTTTAAATATTCAAAAAAAAAAATCTACTAAAAATCATTAAACACATTTATAATTGAATTCCCAAGTTAAAAAACATTTCTCAATTTGTTTTGCCCAATATCAGTGAGGTTGAAAAAAATTCATGATTGCAACAACCGATACCGTCAAGTAATCCCCATGACAGGTTTACAACCCAAGTTTGTGTTGCCACATTTGCATCAATGTCAGCAGCCGTGACCGCATTTTGAACCCTCGTGTGTGGCATATATTAAGTGCCTCAAAACTATGTAGGAGTACAACAAGGAGCAAGTTAACACACAAATATGGAAAGAATCTACACCATATGAGAATGTTAGAAAGGAAGATGATAATACACATAACATGCTGTTACATTCCACATACCCATGTAGTCAACATTTACCATAACAATAGAGTTCATGTGTAACATAGAATGTGTATTTTACCTGAGAACACTTCCTGTGCGAATAGATATAACATCATTGGCATAATCATGACAATACGCCCAGTAATTGAAGAATGCCCATACCAACTGAGCAATGCTTTCATTATTACCGCATCCGAAATCATGAAGTTTCTCAACTTGATCAAAATAGGCACACTCAACGTTTTCAATATTTACCACATAAGTTTTCTCCATTTCCTAACAAAGATTATCAGAAAATGAATCAAAAGTAAGGTCAATCACATCCAGGTGAAAAGGTTCCATGAGAAACATAAACGAAAACCATGTTCAAGTTTGAAATAAATGTCTCTCTGACCACCAAAAGTTGTGTTATTGCACAAGGAAAAACTGATTATCAGAAACAACTAAGCTACTCTTCCAACTACGATCTTAACAGGATGACAACAATCAGCATCATCTCATTTGATTAGGTATTTGTATCGATTCTGTTTCTTCAACTATCAACAAACATACTACTTAGAGACCGACAAGTTATGAGTGAACTCAATAGTATTTGCAAGCAGAAAAGCATCTGAAGCTGACCCTAGCACTTCACACACGACAAGATATCATTCAAGTTTGAAGCAGGTTGACACACTATAGCACAGATACGCAATACAACAAAGGAAATCATGAAACCAATTAAAATGAATGTCTCATAACTCTGTCTCTGTGTGTGGTACATGTGTGGGTGGAATACCTGTTTTGACAATCTGGCAAAATCCATGTGATGGCAAACTAAAAAATGTTCTTGTCCAATACAAATAAATCAAAAAAGCTTTTAAAAGATCAACCTAAAAGAATACTAAAAATAAATTATTATTAGCATCTGACACAGCCAAAAAGATTTTAGAGAAGGCATGTCCAGAACATTCCAGTTTCATAATTGAAAAACATTCACCATGAATTTCAGGGACATTTTAGCATTCTAAAAGATTCATTCAGTTTTTTTTTTTGGTGGGTGAGGGTTGGTTTAAGCAATCTATTCTGAACAAAAAGAAGTGCAAACAATTACAACTTCCAACGTCCATCTGTTGTGATTCAAGAGGTTAACCACCGCTGCATCTAATGAAAGATTTGAAGAGTTTTTTTTTTTTTTTCCTGAACACTCAAATCCTCCTTATTTGTCTGTCTTCAATTTCCATATATGAATAATGGAACATTAATCAGTGATCATATTGGTGATGATTATAATAATAATAAGGGTAAAGTGCATTAAACCCCCCTGAACTACTGGGGTATGTGCAAGAAACCCCCCTGAATTATAAAAGTTGCAAAAAATCCCCCTGAACTATTGGGGTATGTGCAAGAAACCCCCCTAAACTATAAAAGTTGCAAAAAACCCCCCCTGAACTATTGGGGTATGTGCAAGAAACCCCCCTGAACTATATATTATATTTTTTTGCAGTTTATCCCATCCGCGCAAATTGATTGACTGAAAGGGATGATGAAGCCGAGGAATAATAGCTCCATCATAGTCATTGCACCACCCGCCAAATCCGTCGGCCATATATATCGCACTTCTCTGCACCGTTGCGTCAGCCCATCGCCGTCACCGCCTTGCCCGCCGTTCAGCTCACCTTGCTCGCTGGTCCATTCCATCGTCCATTCCAAGCTCGCTGGCTCATTCCGCCATCTCCATAACCGAGCACACCGCCGTCCGTGTTTTGAGCACACAGCCGTCCACAGTTCACCACCGAGCCCCCTTGAGCTCACTGCCGCTTTCACAGTTCACGGTTGAGTCAACCGAGCTCTCATCACAGCCGAGTCCTCCGCGCACAAGCCGCCATCATCCGAGACCGAGCCATTCCGCCGACCTCGGATTTCTTTGGTCTTTTCTCTCTCTCTCTAGCTCTCTGTTTTGGGTTGTGTTGGGTGAAAAATATATTTTGGCAGAAAAAAAATGTAAGAAGTGTATAAGTTAAAACGACGCATTGTTTTATAAGGGTAAACTGGTCCTTCAAAATTTTCGGTGCCGGAAGCTGATGTCATGGGGGTAAATTGCAACAAAATCATAGTTCAGGGGGGTAAATTGCAACAAAATCATAGTTCAAGGGGGTTTTTTGTAGTTTAGGGGGGTTTCTTGCAAATGACCAATAGTTCAAAGGGGTAAATTGCAACAAAATCATAGTTCAGGGGGATTTTTTGTAGTTCAGGGGGGTTTCTTGCAAATGACTAATAATTCAAAGAGATTTAATGCACTTTACCCTAATAATAATGATAACTCTTATTTAGATTTTTTTTTTTAAATCAAGAAAATTTCAACTCCAGTGATATTCACAGGACCTCATTACTCTCTCATCGAAAACAAAAGTAGTGGCATAATTATCATCCACCAAAGGACAATTCAGTATAGTTGAAGAAAATAGATCATAGACCCACAGCGACATTATTGTATTAAAAATATCCATTGGGTCTGTTAGAGAGTTTGTTATAGTCTTGGCCTATAAGGGATTTCTTGTAAGCAAGTCTTGGGCTCTAAGAAATTGTGTTGAAGAGGGGCGGTCCATAAGGCTTTCATATACAAAGAGAGGTTGTTTTTTCTTTTATTCATCAATGGCATGATTGTGTTTTTGTCTACTTAATATATAATAGGTGAGAGGCGTGGGGTAACCCCAACTTTTGACTCTCACCATCATAGAACTCCTCTCTTTCCTCCTCCCCTTCTTCTTCTTCTTCTTCTCCACTTCTATAAACCCTAGTTTCTTAAATTCTAACTTGGTATCAGAACCATTTCAAGCCCAGAACTCATTCACACTCAGTTGCCCATCACCAGAAGTGGTTGACTTCAGTGTTTGTGCGCTAACATATGCAGTTCGAGGACCATACCAACTGGGTTGGCAGTCGTTCTGATAGGCGGTCTACGTCTGGTTATTGCACCTTTGTTAGTCGTAATCTTGTTACTTGGCGAAGTAAAAGGCAAACAATCGTTGCTTGCTTTAGTGCTGAGGCTGAATGTTGTGCTATGGCTCACACCGCGTCCGAGAAGTTATGGGTTCGCTCTCTCCTTCAAGAGATGGGTATTGACATTTCTATTCCTTTGACAATGCATTGTGATAATCAGGCCACTATCTTCGTTGCTAGCAATCCAGTTTTCCACGTGCTTACCAAGCATATCGAGGTGGATTGTCATTTTATTCAGGATTTGTTACTCCCTATATTAGCTCCGAAGACGTGCTGGGTGATATTCTTACAAGGTCACTTGATCCACCTCCAAGCTGGGCATGTTTGATAGGTATGCTCCAGCTTGAGGAGGAGTGTTAGAGAGTTTGTTATTTCTTTTATTCATCAAGGGCAGTATTGTATTTTTGTCTACTTAATATATAATAGGTGAGAGGTGTGGGGTAACCCTAACTTTTGACTCTCACCTTTCACAGAACACTCTCCTCCTCCTCCTCCTCCTCCATCAACTTCTACAAACCCTAGTTTCTTCAACTCTAATTGGGTCAATGTAATATGATTAAGCAAATAATACTTTACACGTGTTTGGATATCCCATCAAAATCATAACCTTGTACAAAACACAACATTTGAAATGAGTAACCCTGCCACATGTAAAGGGATCATCTATAGTGACCCCCAAAAAATCAAGTAGTCTCCATTTTCTTCGCATGGCACCATATTCTTCAATGGCTCCATCCTGAAGGACAGAATTGTTTCTCAAATGAAATGGAAAACATATGCAGTTGCAACTTTCATAAGAGAACCAATTGTTCCTGTTACGACGAACACAACGAACCAAGAACCAATCACGAATCAAGACATAAAAGTAAACACATCACACACAAAGAACGCAAAGGTTTAGTGTGGTTCGACACAAGTTGTGTCTAAGTCCATAGTGATCCTGTAAAAGTTTTCACTATGCGAAAAACAGGAGATTACAAGTTTCAACCCCGAAACCGTAGCTCTACTCTCACTCTCTTTCTCGGTGATTTTCAGTGTTCTCACTCTGCCACTTCAAACTCTAAGCGCCCTCCCTTATATTCCGAGCTACAAGAGAGTACTAAACAAGGTCAACAACCCGCAAGCGGAAAAACCAGTCCAAAAATTTCCTTGGGACCACTACCCTCGATCATTGGGTTGTAGGGTCGTTGCGACCCGGAACCAAATTTGGGCCACAACATCACAGTTCCCATGGTTAGGATTGGTCAAACTTTACATAAAAAAGGGTTATGACTTATAAGTACATACATCAAGCAAAAAAAGGACAGGAAAGCCATTATTTGATCTAGAGCCTACACCCAATGCATTAAGACATTCATAGATATCTTCATGCTCAAGGGACAGGAATCAAGAAACAAAAGAATAGCACACACCTGTAAACATGGAAGGATAGCAGGTTTACGCTGTTGTAAGAAATGAATGCACATTAGAACATACCTGAAAGGCAGCCAAAATAATCAGCAAATGAAAATAAAAATAAATAGGCAACAAACTTTTTTGAACAACACAAGCTAAGCTAACTTACGCATAGCTAGAAAGTGTTCCTTGGTAAGTTTCATTTACTCCTCTTGATTTGGCCCAGTGTTTCACAATAAAAGTCAATTGTCGCAATCTCACGTCTATTTGTGCGTAATCCCGGAGAAGTTTTGTATTTACAACAGCCAATATGTTGTTTATGCATATATCACAAGAGATTCCAGTCACTGGATCCATAAGCTTCACTATGGGGACCCTAGCGCGTGTAAGTGCCTGCAGATAAAACTAAAATGTGAACCCATATAGAAAATTGCATGTAAGATTCATAACCCTTTCTATTTGATGCTAAAGATGTATAGACATCGATAAAGCTCCTAAAAACACCATTATAACTAACAACAAATAAGAAAACTTCCTTGCAAAAAAAAAATAAAATAAAATAAAACTTGAAGTATATGATATTTACAGCATGAAGGACAGAAATAGAGATTTTGAGGATAAACTCAATTCAACATTTGTTTGAAAGGGTTTTAGTACTCCATCTGCTAGGATTTTAATGTCACCTGAACCATCTAAACAAGAAACCAGGAGACAAAAATAGATCACTTATCTTTCTATTTATTTTTGTTCCTTTGATACTTCCAAAAACTTTAGTACATCATTACATCGTCTAAGTTATTGAAGTAATGAAAAAATGATCAGAATGCAAAAAAATTTAGAATTTTTCCAAACTTAAAGAAAATCAACTTCAACAAAATAAGTAATGATAATGATAACAACAACAACAACAATAATAAACATCACAAACAAATAGAAAAAGGGGGGAAAAAAAAAGAAAAAAAAAGCAGATGATGAAAAGGAAGAACAAAGTAATTTCCTAAACTCTTGGGTAAATGTACCTGAATTAGAAGGCCTATATTCAACTTCCTACTTTCAGGCATTTTTCGTGCCACTGCAATCCACTCATTAAGAAAAGGCACTCAAACCACACATTTCTAAAACATGGGAATCTTTTTTTTTTTTTTTTTCCCCTTTTTCTTTCTCCCTTGTGGTAGGCAATTATTAAGAACCTTTCCTTTGATGCAATCTAAAGCATTGATTCCCTTCTCAGACCTTTCGCATTTATGATACTGTCTCTTACCTAGAGTACAGACAAAAGGTAAAGAACTATTCAACTTCCTTCTTTGTAGACGGGCAAGAAGAGTGCAACTATGTCCCTGCTTTAGTTGCAAACTAAGACTAGAAGTGTTGTAGCCTACCCGACAACACCCCCACCCCCTTTTTTCTCTTTCATTTTCTTCTTGGACTTGTAGACTTGCATCCCCTAGGACAATTGCTGTGTTATAGAAAAGGCATATATTGTCAAATAGAGAAAACCTTAAATATTCATTATGCCTTGATACAATTCCCACCACTTCATTTTTTTCTGGACATGCAGGTTGGAAAGCCAGGTATGGGGTTGGTTTATTAATTTGTGTGGATGGGAGGCTCTGCTGAATACTCTCATTCTCTGGAAGCAACTACCATGTGGTTCATGTCCAGTTTGTTGCTGATTCTTCTATAAAAAGTAAGGTTTCAAGGAACTTTTACAAACCCATCATTTGGAGCTTATGGTCCCATAGAAACAAGGTGTTAAATGGTGGATCTCACAGAGCAGCTGAAGACGTAGCTGGGGAATCCTGCTTGGAATGACTTAATTCAACAGGCCTCTCTATAACTGATTTGAATGCTTGGTTTTGAGTTTATTTTTTATGTTTCATTGTATTGTCTCTAGTCTTGAGCATGTCCTTGACTAGTTAAAGGTTTCTTTTGCGATCTCATGCTAGTAGGTCACTTTTCATTTTGTACTCTATTGTCTACTTGTATCAATAAAGTTTCCAACATTCAGGAAAACAAAAAGAAACTTTAATGACATAAAATTCTGGTAAAAGTATTCAACTAAATTTAAATCCAGATGAAATTCCTAAAGCAACTTGTTTAATCTTTTAATTGCCAACTAATGCTGCAAACAAGGCCAACATGCTTGGACTTCCTAAATCTCAAGAACACCATAGGAACAAGTTCCAAAACCTAATCTAAAAATAAACAGGAAAAAATGCATTTACCACAAAGTAGCGACGCCTTCAAATGAAAATTTTCAGTGTCCCTCAAAATAGCAAGGTTTAGAAAATATCAATATCAACTTCACCTTCCCATCCCCTTTCCCTCTTATTAAGATCAGCTTCACCTTCCCATCCCCTTTCCCTCTTATTAGGATCAGCTTCACCTGCCCATCTTATTAACTCACTCCTAAAAGGAGCGCGTTGCTTAAGATATCAAGAGTGGAAATTGCTCTTCTAGGTAAGACAATATTAATACAACCTTCACTAATTCTGAATTTGTATATATCAATAATTTTATGTGTTACAAAGAAAATAACACGGTTTTACACATTCATACACTTACGTACATATATATGCACGTGTATCATCATCTTATATCACGTATTGCAGGATTAAGATTTGAACCATTTAATTGATTTTAGAAGAAATTTATTAAGGACCCGAGTAGTTATTGCAAGTTCTTGGATCCCCTTCAGAAAACATATTCAACTTTGGCATAAATTATTATGCTACTGTATACAATTTCATGTTATGTTTAGGCATGAGAAACTAAATTAAAATTTAAAATCTGAAATGGGTAATATATATATATAAGCATGAAGAATCTTAAACTATTGAATTAAAGGCTCATATGTGATCAAACAATTGAGCCTTGAATTATTGAATTATTAACATGAATTTGCGAACTCTCCCTGTATCTCTTTCTCCCTTTTGTTCTTGCTATTCTCAGTCTCTCTAGCCTATCTCTTTCGATCCATCTTCTCAAATCCTTCATCTGCTTTCTCACCTCTTTCTTCTAGCCTCTTCTCATCTTCTTATTCCCATCCCCTTCATCTTCTTATTCACATGTCCAGACTTTTTCTATTTCTGAAAATGATGTACCATGTACAGCTGAAAGATTCACCAAGTTTAAAATGCCATATTGAGATTGATGGGAGGCAGCAAATTGGAAACAAACTTAACTTTTGATATGATTCACAGAAAGTGCTGTATGCTCACACGCTTAGCTGCCCAAGCTTTCGAACCTGAACCAAGTAATTTCATATGCGGTTGGCCACAATATTATGTCACAATTCAACTCTCTAATCCGCTACATAAAAATTAAAGATATTAAAAGGAAAAAAACAAGAAGAAGAAAGAACACAGGTGAGTTAAGGTGGAGGCATAAAATATGCATAGGGTAATGAGTAAACCACAGGAGTGATAATAAGAAGGGTAGTAATGGTTGAGATGGTGAAATTTTTGTGAGAAATGGTTGCCATGGCTGCTTTCTAGATGAAGTATTTTCCTCTTTGCATGGAAAATCAAGCCTAATAAGTGTTATCCTTGAACTGTAAGGGTGGGCTACCCGGCGGTTATTCCTAATTTCAGTGAGAAGGCAGCATCACACCCTTTTTCAGCTTTTAACCAAAATGAAATTAGCACCACCAATATCAGAGCAATAACACCACAAATTTTTAATGGCACCATTGAAGTAAAATAAAGATGACATCTTCCATAATTTGATATAATGCGAACAAGTCGGAAAGGCAGACCAATTACCTGGACATTCTGTAGATTATTCGACTGCAGTATATCTGCCAATGTCAACAAGATCTCAGATTTGTCAACATCTGTATCCTTAATTGCAAGGCAAACATCAATATCACATTTTGAAACCCCAAATGAGTTAGCACATGATCCATAAAGATACAACTGAGCTTCAGGCCATTCTTTGCTAACAAGATTCTCCAATAATGTTAACAATTGCTTCTGCTTTGCTTTTTCTTCCTCTGCTGGTATTAGGGATTCATAAATTGCAAGAAAAGGAGCATTTAGCCTGTTTATGTCAGCTCGACATTCAATCTGTCTCTTGAAGTTTCTCATCCTCTGGCCAAGAATGTTTTGTCCTCTCATATCTGATCTGTAACCCTGAACACAAATAGAACAATTAAATCCTCAAGCTCAAAAAATCCACACACCCAGACCCTTACTTCTCGAAGAGAGGTCAAGGGTTCAAGTCTCAGTAGAGACGTGTATGTGAGTATCAACTATGACAAAAATAAAATAAAATCCACACACTAAGCATTTCTATGCAGACAAAAAGACACCCTTGCACAGATGCACCTATCAACTATCTTAAGAAAAAAAAGTTCCTTACAAAAAAAATTAGGTTATGTTAAATCTAAAATCAATATGCCCTAATATCTTGTTGAACCGTTGCCCAATGCTCTGATTAGGTCAGAGTGCGTGCAGTTAATTAGACCTAGAAGAGGGTGACTACGTCTTATGGATATTTACTTGCAATTAACTAACCTTTTGAATTTCCGTCAATTCTTGTTCAAAATTCAGTTAATTAGCTTGATTTGTGTCTCAATTTCCCTCCTCATTTTAGCAGAGATGTTTCGCATCCTTTCCTTTTACAGCATGTATTACACCACATTGAATTACAATGGGCACTGCGGGTGGAATAAAAGGCAAGCGCCGCACCAAAACAAATAATCAGCCAACCAAATCCAATCTCAAGGGCTCAACAATACCATGCAAAGGAGGATTAAGTGACAGTACTGGACCTACTTGCAACCTTTTGGTTAGAGTAAGTTTAGACATTAGCCTATAGCAAAAGCTCCAGGAGTTGGCATTGCGGAAGTACAGGTTTGAGATTTTGTTATATTTTCCATGTATCCACCTAGAGATGACTCAAAATTAAATTAAAGTAAAGACCATCACTGCCCAATGTCAACTCTTACCAAACCCAACAAGATTGGCTTTATATGGGGAGTACAAAATTTTTAAATTAACCGGTTTGAATTTGATCTGTTGCTCGACAAATAGAAGGATAGGCTCAATAATTCATTCAGTATCCAACAAACTAAAATGAGATAAAAATCCATCTAATCATATGAAACATCGAAAACAATGTAATATCATATAATACTCACTATTAGATCATTAATTATCTGAGTATAAGGCCATAAAATGAGTTGAGCTACAGGTCTAATTTTCGAAGAGAGAACCCTTTACTGTTGGATGCATGGTAATGCAAGATAGTTCATGTCTCCTCATACGAGAGTAACGAGATGACGTTGTTAAATGATTAGTAGTTCTTTAACAGCCATTAGCTCCTATAACATAGAAGAATCCTACAATGGAATATTTTCCCATGGTGGTTCAACACGGCTCAGTGTTTAGCTTCTCTAACAGAGTGCGTCTTTTGGTACCAAGATCTGACACTGGGCTAACTTCTTCTTTCCCCAACTAAGATTTAGAAAATGAAAATCAAATCCCAACCACTAAAAAAGAATGCAACTTTGCACACTTTAAACTTTAAAAATCCTTGAAATTAAATCATACAATCAAATTTACAGTAGTAAATAGATTTCGATTCCAATTGAGCTCTTGATTTATCAATTGAATATAATCAACAAAAACACAGGGAATGATTGGACAAAGCATTTACCTTTTCACGAGAACTTTTATGTTTCCTTTTATCATTTTTGTCGTCCAATTCATCTTCAGGTGCTAAAGACCCCATAAGCTGTTCACCAAAATCATCCAATTCAAGGCGTCTTCTACCACCATCCTTCTTCATCTTGTCCTGCCTCCGAACTTTGTCCCCATCTTCACCAATTTCACCATGCAATTCCAACAGAGACTCTTCAATATCAGACACCGAAACGGAATGAAGATTACTTCCTGTTGGTGGGCCAGGGGAATCAAGCTGACGAGTAAGCCCCAAACCATCCAATACATTGCCACGAGCTTTCAAATGACCAGATGACAATTTTCCTTCTCTATCATTCTCAGCATTTGAAGTAAAACTCATGCGATGAGGTTCACCAAAACGACCCCTTTCCCTATCCACATTATGCTCAAAACTTCTCCTCCTATTCCTAGACTCCCGATTCACTGCATCCTTTTGCTTTTGCTTGCCAGAAAAACCAGGTGGGGGTCGCCTCACTTCCCGTGATGGCGCCATTGTGCTATAATTACCTCCATGCTGATGTCTATCAGATCCACTGCCACCACTTCCTCTCCGTTCTTGCTCGTGATTCCGAGATGCACGCGAATTCGCTGGCGGATCCCGACTCAAATCGACAGAATTGCGAAACTCATTGTCCACACCATTCAATCTTCTATCTCCTACACTGATATCTCTTTCTTTCGACAATAAACCCTCTATTTTAGCCCTTGTAACTAAATTATCATGTGAACTGCCATTTGATACCCCCTCATTGTTTCGAATTTCACAAGGCAATGATCCAAACATGAGTTTATGTTCTTGCTGATGAGTTGAGATAGGTCTAGGATTCGTACCAGAAAATCCTAGCTTTCGGATGTCATCGCCGAATAATTGGTGATTGAGTTGGACAGGTTGGTGATGATGAGTCTGATTGAACCCAGGCGGAAGCGGAAGCGGAAGCGGAAGCGGAGGCGGAGAGGGCCAATTAGGATTTGAATTAGGGTTTTGGGGAGGTCCTCGGATGAAGTAGTTGTGTGGTGCGAACGGAGGCAATTGGGGCCAAGGAGGGTGGTAGGGAAGATCGTGACCGTTGTTGGATGGGAATGGCAGGAAGGGAAGGGTGGGGCCCACTGCTGCGACGGCAGGATCGTGAGTAAGTGACTCTGGCGTAGGTGGTGATGGTGTTGGCGGTGAAACTCCGGTGACTGCGTATGGTGGTGGTTGAAGGGGCGTTTGGTGTTGATGGGGAGGTTTTCGTAGCATTTTGAGGAGAAATTCACCCCCGTTTTCCGGCGGTTGCAGCGGCGCGTCGCCTTCACCGCCTAACATGGTGGTGGAGGATCGGAAGATTAGATGGTGAGAGACGTTTTAAAATTGAGGCAAACTAAAGAGAGCGAGTCACACATCTTGAAAGACAGAGAGAGAGAGAGAGAGAGAGAGCGAGCAGAAGAGAGTATGATCAACAGACCCAGATTGATAAACCCAGTTGTAAGTATTACTTTTTCCGGGTTTATAATTTCCAAAGCTTGATTAATTATCTAAGGAATATATAGAGTGTAATTACTTATACTGAAAGATATGGAGTGGACGACCTTTGCCTTTTTTTTCATCAATCTTGGTCTGCATGTGTATTGTATATGGTTGGATTTGGAACCGCTAGATGAATAGTTGAGGTTATCAAAGGTGTACAGTGTCGCGATCATTTAGTTGCTACGATGTAGGGAGTTACATTGTGTGATTTGTTTGTAATGAGGTGTGGGGCCTAATTCGAGGTCAACAAAGTGGACGACTTCTATAGTTCCTAGGTGGAGCGAGGAAAATAATGATAAAACTCCTGATGTATTTATGAAACCTCAAAAAGTCCATCCAGTTTAAAAAGAAAGGACTTTTTCCATGAAAATTCATTTTAGACCAGTAAAAATTTGTTAATTTTGAAATCTCATTTTAAGAAGTTAATATTTTTTAAGGATAAATTCATTATTTTACTAATTTGCTAATGTATTTTTTAATAAATTGATAATATTGTCCTATATTTTTTATTGGTCTCTCCTTCCATCACCACCACGTGACCTTCTACCACCTTTGTCATTGCCATCGCCATCGCCATCGCCACCGCAACTTTCCATCATCACCTTCCCGCCACCACAGCCATTGCCACCGCCACTTTCTATTACCATGGCCGCCACCACCGCCACTACTATCTCCTTCACCACCTTCCATAGCTAACACCACCGTCGTTGCCACCCTCAATCACGACCTTCTATCATTGCTACCACTGCCAACATCATTACATTTTACCACCACCACTCTTAACTGCCACCTTCCACCGTCATCGCAATTGCCTTCTGTCACTGCCACCACCAACATCGACATTTCACACTTCTTTTTGGAGACTTGCAATAATTACCAAGGATATGATATTGTTGTCAAGAAAAAAATAATCTAAAAATTATAAAGTAAAGAATAATCTAATAAGAATTCCTTTTAACTAAATTCCTTTCACGAAAACCTTATCAATGAAAGACATTAATATGAGAAAATTCTCCCAAACGGGGTATATCAAGTGATGAAATAATTATTCAAAGCCTATCTTTGGTAGCACCAATTCATCGTACTCTGACAACTTATAGAGTCTGATTTTATTTTATTTTTTTTATTTTATTTTTTATTTTTTGTGACAGTAAAAAAGTTAATAGAAAAATCACCCTTGCAATTTGAATGAACTAGATTTTTCAAATTCAAATTAGTAATTAAAGTTACACAAAATTGGGTCTACAAATAGAGAAAATGGAATCTGAAAAAGTAATAACACCAAGCGAGTGCTTTCAACTTTTTTACACTTTCCCTTCTTATTAAAGTATTCCATCAAAATCACTTTTCTCCTCGTTAAAATTTCTTAAACTAACATTATCATTTTTTTCTACAACAAAATAGGATACTTATCCAAAGAAAATGAAAATATTAAATTCATCAACAAAACTACAATTATAGAACATATTTTATCAAACATGAGACTTTTATATTAAGGCATTGAGAAAAAAAAAACTAAAATAAGTTACATTAACATTATGGATTCTCAAAACGAAGTTAAACCTTATTTTTCTTGTATAATTGTTTAATGTATGTAATTGAATCTTTACGCAAGTGCGCTAACAAGTGGAAACAAAATTAGGAAAAGAAATATTTTGAAGTTTAATTATTAATTAATACTAGGGAAAAAGTTTTTTGATTTTGCAGAATTTTATTAAACACTATTGATTAATCCGAATCCAAATATTAATTAATTATAGGGAAATATTTTAATTCAATATTTTAATTCTAAAATTTAACCTGTGGAAAGATCATTGTCCAAAATTTCTGTCAATTTTAACTTCAGCCGCCGCGTCCCTATTAATGAAAAAACATTTGTGTGGTAAGTACCATATTTTATGGTAGAAAAGTTGGTAATGTTAGTTTAGGAAACTTTAACAGGGAAAAAGGGGTTTTGCTTCTCTACCCCTAAAAAGTGTTTTTATTTTAAAAATTTGTGTTATGTATTTGATAGTCATTATAAGTATTTTTAATAGTTACCAAATTTAGTTAAGTAAAAGTTATAATTTAGAACTTATAAAAAATTACATTTTGAATAAAGATTGAATATTTTAGGTAATTCTTTTTTATTAAACAATTTTGTTCATTTTATTTTTTATAACAACAATTATACACATTCCTTAATAAAGTAGTTATTATCAAATATGATAACATTAAATTTAAGGATATTATTGTAAAATCAGCAATAGAAGTATTTAAGAAAAAGAGATAAAATTATTTTTTAAAATTATTATTATTATTATTTTGAGACTTACAAGGCAGCTTGTAGGTTTTGTTTAGAGAATAAATTCTCTTCATTATTCCGACTACAAGTTCAAACTAGATTAATTTTTTAATTGGACAACAGTTCTTTTAAAAAGGGAGGTTGAATATTGGAACATCTATAGAGGCATGCGCATGCAAGTGTTTACTTAACCTTTTTAAAAAAATAAAGTTCAAACAAGATTATAAAAACAAGATTTAATAAACAATGGTCAATTAGTGAGTTTCTCTTTGCCAGAAAAAAATAAAATAAAAAAAAATAAAAATTATACTCAGAAGTCACGTGACTATCATGGCCGGTGAGCTTACATTTTCAATATCAAATAAAAAAATTATTAACCTACTAATTATTTATTTATTTTTAAATTTTTTTATCACACACTTACTTACTTTCATTTTTAACCTTAATTGAAACTTTAGAAAACTAATTAATATTTCGATTAAATAAAAAATAGATTTACCCATAATTGTACAAAAAACAGATTCAGTGTCAAAAGTTATGAATGCGATTTCCTCCGCAAAAGCTAAAAACCTGAAGACTTGTTTGATATGTTTCGTGATTCTCAAAGCCAAGCTCATAACAGTGGCATTAATGTCTAGTTCACATGTTTGTGCCCAATTCGGTATGTAACTAAAAACCCACTCCACTCATTTCTTCATTTGGTGAATCCTAATTAGGGATTTTTGCTTCTTGTTCATAGAATCTGTAAATGCATTTGCCCACATGTATTATGTATATGCTTCTTGTTGATTTGAGTTGTACATAGTAAAGGTGATAATTTTTGGACTATATATTGCAATAATTAATTTCTAAGTCGTATTATTATTATTTATGCTATTGTAGAATGATTAGGGTTTTAAATTCCGGTTTGCATTTGTTGTAATAAGTAAATAAATAACTTCAAACAGTGGGGAAAATAATAAAATTAAGGGATAATGAATATATATTTGCTGTGCTGTCCTTGAAATGATCTTACCATCATCTCTATGATTAAACTGTAAAATTTGATTGCTATTCATTCCAATGACTCTGGCAAAGTTATATTTATGTTGGAGTGGCATTTTAGTGGCTTAAATTAGAAACTCTTGTTTGCAAATGTGTTGGGAGTTTCATATGTGCATATTTGAGTAGGCATATATATTGACTATTTAATGTAGAAAAGTTGTGTGAGGTACAGTTAGTTGTTTAATGTAGGAAGATTTTTTATTTTAATGTTAACACGCACGTCTAAGATTACTATTATCATGGAAGTACAAAACATTCTGCATCTTCTGCAACATCCTATTTTGGTCATTTTAGGAGAACAATTCGAAGATATAAAATGCTATTTAACATTTGAAGTGTGACAAGCACTAGCCTTACTCCACCATAACATAGCATTGATCTATTTAGTGTTTGGAAATTCCAAGGTTACAGAATAGAGAAATTGACGGTCACAGTTTAATTGCAATAGCCTTGAGTGGTAAGGCCTTCTGCAATGTAATCCCAAACTTGTCATTCATGTCAATGTCTTCTGGTTTCACTCCTCCTTCAAGCTTCCAATCGACAGAGTGCAAAAGAGAGGCCAACATGAGATGCACCATCCGAGAGGCCAATGGCATTCCAGGGCACACCCTTCGTCCTGCGCCAAAGGGAATTAGCTCGAAATCTTGCCCTCTAAAGTCCGTTTTATGCTCTAAGAACCTTTCTGGCAAAAATGAACTAGGGTTCAACCAAATGTTTGGATCACGCCCCATGGCCCAAACATTAACAAGGACTTGTGCATTTTTGGGCATAGTGAAACCACAAATTTGTATGTCAGCTTCAGCCTTGTGAGGAACAAGAAATGGGGCAACTGGATGCAATCGGAAGGTCTCTTTTACTACTGCTTGCAAGTAAGGGAGCCTTGGGATGCCTGATTCTTGAACTAGTCCATCCCTGCCAATGGCTTCCTCAAGCTCATTTCGTGTTTTTGCCATCGTTTCAGGTCTTTTCATTAGCTCTGTCATTGCCCATTCCAATGTGGCTGATGTTGTATCTGTCCCTGAAACAAATAAGTCCTAAAAACTAGAAGTATAAGTTTTGATGAACAATCTATTTTTACATTGGTCGTTTCAATGTTCAATAAGCATGTGCATATTTTCTGATAAGATAAGACTCAGCCACCAGAAGAATGAAATAGGGAATTGTGGGTCATAGCTCACCTGATAGATGAGTGAACAAGAATAGCCATAGTTCTTATTTCGAGGGCTTACTCATCATCCAATAAATGAAGAACCAAAATTGTCACACTCCTCGGTCCTCATAACCAAGTGTTGCATCTATAATGCAGTCATAAGATACATTATAGAAGCAACAATCAGTTTAGCGAAACAACTTAAAATAGTGCTGTGCACATTTCTTGACAAAATGGCCCTAAAATGATTATGAAGTTGATTTTTTCTTATATAGATTCATAGGATTTGGAAAAGTTGTTGTTCAAAAGGCACTATTAAGGTTAAAAAATTCCTCCATTCTAGATTAGAAATCACAATCATAGTTGTAAACAAAGTGGAACCATTTAACACGGGTCCGGCTTGTTGTATCCCATCGCTGGTGGTCCTATGCTTGGTGCATGTGCTTTGCACGGTGTCCCGGATTTAGTCGATACCCCAATTACCTTACAAAAAGAAA